TAGTGAGACACTGGTAGTGAGACACTGGGTAGTGAGACACTGGGTAGTGAGACACTGGGTAGTGAGACACTGGTAGTGAGACACTGGTAGTGATACACTGCTAGTGAGACACTGGGTAGTGAGACACTAGTAGTGAGACACTGCTAGTGAGACACTGGGTAGTGAGACACTGGTAGTGAGACACTGGGTAGTGATACACTGGGTAGTGAGACACTGGGTAGTGAGACACTGGGTAGTGAGACACTGGGTAGTGAGACACTGGGTAGTGAGACACTGGTAGTGAGACACTGGGTAGTGAGACACTGCTAGTGAGACACTGGGTAGTGAGACACTGGGTAGTGATACACTGGGTAGTGAGACACTGGGTAGTGAGACACTGGGTAGTGAGACACTGGGTAGTGATACACTGGGTAGTGAGACACTGGGTAGTGAGACACTGGGTAGTGAGACACTGCTAGTGAGACACTGGGTAGTGAGACACTAGTAGTGAGACACTGGGTAGTGAGACACTGGGTAGTGAGACACTGCTAGTGAGACACTGGGCAGTGAGACACTGGGTAGTGAGACACTGGGTAGTGAGACACTGCTAGTGAGACACTGCTAGTGAGACACTGGGTAGTGCGACACTGGTAGTGAGACACTGGGTAGTGAGACACTGGTAGTGTGACACTGGGTAGTGAGACACTGGGTAGTGCGACACTGGTAGTGAGACACTGGGTAGTGAGACACTGGTAGTGTGACACTGGGTAGTGAGACACTGGGCAGTGAGACACTGGTAGTGATACACTGCTAGTTAGACACTGGGTAGTGAGACACTGGTAGTGAGACACTGCTAGTGAGACACTGGTAGTGAGACACTGGGTAGTGAGACACTGGGTAGTGAGACACTGGTAGTGAGACACTGGTAGTGAGACACTGGGGTAGTGAGACACTGCTAGTGAGACACTGGTTAGTGAGACACTGGTAGTGAGACACTGGGTAGTGAGACACTGGGTAGTGAGACACTGGGTAGTGAGACACTGGTAGTGAGACACTGGGTAGTGTGACACTGGGTAGTGAGACACTGGGTAGTGAGACACTGGGTAGTGAGACACTGGTAGTGATACACTGCTAGTGAGACACTGGGTAGTGAGACACTGGTAGTGAGACACTGGTAGTGAGACACTGGGTAGTGAGACACTGGGTAGTGAGACACTGGTAGTGAGACACTGCTAGTGAGACACTGGGTAGTGAGACATTGCTAGTGAGACACTGGTAGTGAGACACTGGTAGTGAGACACTGGGTAGTGAGACACTGGGTAGTGAGACACTGGGTAGTGAGACACTGGTAGTGAGACACTGCTAGTGAGACACTGGGTAGTGAGACACTGGTAGTGAGACACTGGGTAGTGAGACACTGGTAGTGAGACACTGGTAGTGAGACACTGGGTAGTGAGACACTGGGTAGTGAGACGCTGGGTAGTGAGACGCTGGGTAGTGAGACACTGGGTAGTGAGACACTGGGTAGTGAGACACTGGGTAGTGAGACACTGGTAGTGAGACACTGGTAGTGTGACACTGGGTAGTGAGACGCTGGGTAGTGAGACGCTGGGTAGTGAGACACTGCTAGTGAGACGCTGGGTAGTGAGACACTGCTAGTGAGACACTGGGTAGTGAGACGCTGGGTAGTGAGACACTGCTAGTGAGACACTGGGTAGTGAGACACTGGTAGTGTGACACTGGGTAGTGAGACACTGGGTAGTGAGACACTGGGTAGTGAGACGCTGGGTAGTGAGACGCTGGGTAGTGAGACACTGGGTAGTGACTTTACCGAAAGAACCAAAGCGTAAGGATCCTTGCAGTCACGAAAACTTCAAATCTAGAAGCAATCAATTTACTGCCATTAACCACACACCCAGTACTTGCGCTGAACATGCAAACACTATCATGCTTCGATAATGTACGGGCATTGCCTTTGAAACTGACTGACCTACAGTAGAGACACCGGCCTTCTGTATGGCTCTCGATTTAAAGCTTTCGTGACTGCAATGATTCATCTTCTTTGGTTCTTTCGGTAAAGTCACGTAGAATGATAATAAAATAATAAATAGATGAAATAAATTATTATTGTGTTATTTTATTTTATCAATTTATTATTTTATTATCATTCTACGTGGCTTTACCGAAAGAACCAAAGAAGATTCTGTATGGCTTTGTCTCACTACGGGCGTCAGACCCCAGAACAACGCCGACAGGTGAAGAGCGCATGGACGATGCCACTATCAGGACATTTACAGCTCAGGGTTGAGCAGCTACATCACGGGATACATTTATTTTTCTCTCAAAAGAATTAAAGTTACGCATGAAAAATATATATATAAGAATGTGAGTTCTACCCTTTCTGGCCATACTAAAACAGGTGTCGTGTTAAGATGTTCAGACACCAAATAGAAACATTTTGCGCGAGGAATGAAGTTACCGCATTAATCAGACACACGGTACTTGCGGTGAACTTGCAAACGCACGTGGCTCTGATAATAGAAGGGGCATTGTCTATGAAATATCAGCATTGTCTTTTCAACGACTTCCAAAGACGATGCCATTCATCATCAGGGCATGTTTGCAAGGCATCGCGTCTGCATTAGCCACACGCAGTACTTGTGGTGAACAATACAACAAAAACGTGGCTCTGATAATAGATGGGCATCGTCTTTGAAACTGATTGGTCTACATCAGAGATAGCAGAGGCCCTTCTGTATGGCCTTGTCTCACTAGCAGTGTCTCACTACCAGTGTCTCACTACCCAGTGTCTCACTACCAGTGTCTCACTACCAGTGTCTCACTATCTAGTGTGTCACTAGCAGTGTCTCACTAGCAGTGTCTCACTAGCAGTGTCTCACTACCCAGTGTCTCACTACCCAGTGTCTCACTAGCAGTGTCTCACTAGCAGTGTCTCACTAGCAGTGTCTCACTACCCAGTGTCTAACTAGCAGTGTCTCACTCTGTGGGTCTCAGAGTATGGGTCTCTATGGGTCTCTATGAGTATGGGTCTCTATGAGTCTCTATGAGTATGGGTCTCTATGAGTCTCTATGAGTATGGGTCTCTATGAGTATGGGTCTCTATGAGTCTCTATGAGTATGGGTCTCTATGGGTCTCTGTGGGCCTATGGATCTCTATGGGACTTTGTAGGTCTATGGCCAGTGCCGGATTATCCTAGTTGCAAAAGTAGCTGCATATGCTAAATGCTTTCAAGCTATCAATTCCGGTTCAGTGATTCTGCACTTCATCTATTACTATAGTACTATACTACCTTCAACTTTTAAGAACGACTGTGTGTTTAAGGTTAGCGATCTGTCGTATTGTCGGGGCTGTATATCAAATGAAAAAAATGACAATTACTTTCCTATGGAAGTGAAAAATGCGTGTTTTAAAATGTGCGTGTTTTTTTTTGTAATTTAGGGCCACTTCATAACATATGCTCCAGGCCCCGCACTAGCTTCATCCGGCACTGACTATGGGTCTCTATGATTCATAATAAAGGTTTTTGGGTTAGATCGCGTTATTTATAAATGTGTCGTAACCCTCCACCACCCGACACGGCCAATCAGCAAAAAAGTGTCACGTTGACAAAAGACAAATAGTTCACTACTTTAGCCCACCGGTGTGTTGAAGAGTGAATCCACAACATTTACAGTTTGAGTACTGTGACGTTTCGCTGGGAGCAAGCGAGGGCTTTACCATTCTGGCGAATTGCCTGATGATGCTGGATGTAATTACCAGCGAAACGTGGTATTCAAACTGTAAATGTTGTGGATTCACTCTTCAACACACCGGTGGGCTAAAGTAGTGAATTGTCTTTTGTCAACGTGACACTCTTTTTGCTGATTGGCCGTGTCGGGTGGTGGAGGGTTACGACACATTTATAAATAACGCGATCTAACCCAAAAACCTTTAATATGAATATTGGTCGCGAAAGCATACGTGTTAAACTGGGTCTCTATGAGTACGAGTCTCGATGGGTTTCTGTGGGTCTACGGGTCTCTACGAGTCTCTACGAGTCTCTATAAACAAGCGTCCAGAGTTATTTGTCCGCCACAAACTTTACGGACGACGTTGACGGTGAGCCCGCCGCTCTGTTCAGCAAGCTATCATTATCGCGACAGCCAGCGGGTGGGAATGTACCTGGTTCAAGTAAACAACAACAACGACAATGACGAAGACGACAACAACAACACGAGCCTCGTGAGTTTACAAAGCAAACGGAGGCTTATTCTTGGTTCTTTCGGTAAAGTCACCACGTAGAAGGGAAAACAAGAAAAATATAAAACAATAAAATTATCACGACGTTTCGACTGCAACACAAGCAATCATCATCAGAAAATTTTCTTGCTGTGGTTTTCACACCTGATGATGATTGCTTGTGTTGCAGTCGAAACCTCGTGAGAATTGTATTGTTTTATATTTTTTATTATTTTATTGTTTCCCTTCTATGCGATGACTTTACCGAAAGAACCAAGAATATGATTCTATATTTATTTAAAGTTGCGCATTTTGACGTGACGTCACATTTCTCAAACGCCATCGCCACTTTTTTTCAAATTGTTCTTGCTGTGGTGTTCACACCTGATGATGATTGCCGCTTGTGCTGCAGTCGAAACGTCGTGAGAATTGTATTGTTTTATATTTATATTTTAATTATTTCATTGTTTCCCTTCTTACGCGGTGGTGACTTTACCGAAAGAACCAAAGAATATGAATCCCTGCAGTCACGAAAGCTTTAAATCAAAATTTAACTAATCTTGTAAAGTCACGTAGAAGGAAAACAATAAAATAATAAAAATATAAAACAATAAAATTCTCAATCATCATCAAGTGATGATAATCACTGCTTGTGTTGCAGTCGAAACGTCGTGAGAATTTCATTGTTTTATATTTTTTTAAATTATTTCATTGTTTCCCTTCTTACGCGGTGGTGACTTTACCGAAAGAACCAAGAATATGAATACCCGCGGAAACGAAAAGCTTTAAATCGAAAAATGCAAACGGAGGCTGTAAAAGAACAAGCGGAAACAAACACGCCCTTCACGAGGCCCCGGCCGTCTACGGCCAGGCCGCACCGAAAGGGGTTTTTATTATTATTATTGGGTAGCTTGCACGTCCTGCAACATCGATACGCAAGCGACGTTCGATACACAAACGACGTTTGATACACAGCGACGTTCAATACACAGCGACGTTCAACACACAGCGATGTTGAATACACAGTGAAGTTCAATACACAGCGATGTTCAATACACAGCGACGTTCAATACACAGCGACGTTCAATACACAGCGATGTTTGACTCACAAGCGACGTTCGATACACAGCGACGTTCAATACACAGCGACGTTTGACTCACAAGCGACGTTCAAGGCACAGCGACGTTCAATACACAGCGACGTTTGACTCACAAGCGACGTTCAAGGCACAGCGACGTTCAATACACAGCGACGTTTGACTCACAAGCGACGTTCAAGGCACAGCGACGTTCAATACACAGCGACGTTTGACTCACAAGCGACGTTCAATACACAGCGACGTTCAATACACAGCGACGTTCAATACACAGCGACGTTCAACACACAGTGACGTTCAACACACAGCGACGTTTAATACACAGCGACGTTCAATACACAGCGAGGTTCAATACACAGCGACGTTTGACTCACAAGCGACGTTCAATACACAGCGACGTTTGACTCACAAGCGACGTTCAATACACAAGCGACGTTCAATACACAGCGACGTTCAATACACAGAGACGTTCAATACACAGCGACGTTTGACTCACAAGCGACGTTCAATACACAGCGACGTTTGACTCACAAGCGACGTTCAATACACAGCGACGTTCAATACACAGCGACGTTTGACACACAAGCGACGTTTGATACACAGCGACGTTTGACTCACAAGCGACGTTTGACTCACAAGCGACGTTCAATACACAGCGACGTTTGACTCACAAGCGACGTTCAATACACAGCGACGTTTGACTCACAAGCGACGTTCAATACACAGCGACGTTCTATACACAGCGACGTTCAATACACAGCGACGTTCGATACACAGCGACGTTCAATACACAGCGACGTTCAATACACAGCGACGTTCTACACACAGCGACGTTCAATACACAGCGACGTTCAATACACAGCGACGTTTGACTCACAAGCGACGTTCAATACACAGCGACGTTTGACTCACAAGCGACGTTCAATACACAACGACGTTCGATACAGAGCGACGTTCAATACACAGCGACGTTTGACTCACAAGCGACGTTCAATACACAGAGACGTTCAACGCACAGCGACGTTCAATACACAGCGACGTTCAATACACAGCGACGTTTGATACACAGTGAAGTTCAATACACAGCGATGTTTGACTCACAAGCGACGTTCAATACACAGCGACGTTCAATACACAGAGACGTTTGACTCACAGCGACGTTCAATACACAGCGACGTTCTACACACAGCGACGTTCAATACACAAGCGACGTTTGACACACAAGCGACGTTCTACACACAAGCGACGTTCTACACACAGCGACGTTCAATACACAAGCGACGTTTGACACACAAGCGACGTTCTACACACAAGCGACGTTCTACACACAGCGACGTTCAATACACAAGCGACGTTTGACACACAAGCGACGTTCTACACACAAGCGACGTTCTACACACAGCGACGTTCAATACACAAGCGACGTTTGACACACAAGCGACGTTCTACACACAAGCGACGTTCTACACACAGCGACGTTCTACACACAGCGACGTTCGGAGGCAACGATGGGAAGAAGCCGCAGAGTGGGGGCAGCGTTGAGTTGGCTGGCCACGTGCTGAGGATTCCTGTGGGAGCACACCGGAGGGTTAGCTGGGGCGAGATGGGACTCACGCACGACGCATACGCACAGCGCTCACGTACAGCACACATACAGCACTCGTACATACATACACCACTCATACACCACTCACTCACACATACAGCACTCTTACATACATACAGCACTCACACACCACTCACTCACACATACGCACAGCGCTCACGTACAGCACACATACAGCACTCGTACATACATACACCACTCATACACCACTCATACACCACTCACTCACACATACAGCACTCTTACATACATACAGCACTCACACACCACTCACTCAAACATACGCACAGCGCTCACGTACATACAGCACACACACATACACACCACTCACACACTACTCATACATACAGCACTCGTACACACAGCACACACTCATACACACACTACTCATACATACAGCACTCACAGCACACATACATACACCACTCATACATACATACAGCGCTCACATACAGCACTCATACATACAGCACACACACACACACCACTCACTCATACATACATACAGCACTCACACACACCACTCACTCACTCATACATACACCACTCATACATACATACAGCACTCACATACAGCACTCGTACATACAGCACACACACACCACTCACTCACACATACATAGACCACTCATACACACACCACTCACTCACACATACATACACCACTCATACATACATACAGCACTCACATACAGCACTCATACATACAGCACTCACATACAGCACTCATACATACAGCACACACACATACATACACCACTCATACATACAGCACACACACATACACCACTCACACATACATACAGCGCTCACATACAGCACTCATACATACATACAGCACACACAGCACACACACACCACTCACTCACACATACATACAGCACACACACACCACTCACTCATACATACACCACTCATACACACACACACCACTCACTCATACATACATACAGCACACACACACCACTCACTCATACATACACCACTCATACATACAGCACTCACAGCACACACACACCACTCACTCATACATACAGCACACACACACCACTCACTCATACATACAGCACACACACACCACTCACTCATACACACAGCACACACACACCACTTACTCATACACACAGCACACACATATACATACAGCACTCACACACAGCAAATATACACCACTCACTCATACATACATCACTCATACATACATCACTCGCATACATACAGCACTCACATACAGCACACACACCACTCACTCATATATACAGCACACACACGTACATACAGCATTAACATACAGCACACACACAGACACCACTCACTCATACAGCACTCACACATACATACAGCATCTTCTTTGGTTCTTTAGGTAAAGTCACGTAGAATGAGAATTAAATAATATTAGAATATTATTATTTTATTCTCATTCTACGTGGTGGTGACTTTACCGAAAGAACCAAAGAAGATGAATCCTTGCAGTCACGAAAGCTTTAAATCTAAATACATACAGGACTCACATACAGCACACACACACACCACTCACACACAGCACACACAACTCACATACAGCACACACAACTCACGCATACAGCACAACCCAAGGTTGAAACCAACCCCACCCCACCAGGTTACCACCAACCCCACCCCCCAGGTTACCACCAACCCCCCCCAGGTTACCACCAACCCCACCCCCATGTTACCACCAACCCCACCCCCAGGTTACCACCAACCCCACCCCCAGGTTACCACCAACCCCACCGCCAGGTTACCACCAACCCCACCCCCAGGTTACCACCAACCCCACCCCCCAGGTTACCACCAACCCCACCCACCCCCAGGTTACCACCAACCCCACCCCCCAGGTTACCACCAACCCCACCCACCCCCAGGTTACCACCAACCCCCCCCAGGTTACCACCAACCCCACCCCCAGGTTACCACCAACCCCACCCCCCCGGTTACCACCAACCCCACCCCCCCCAGGTTACCACCAACCCCACCCCCACGTTACCACCAACCCCACCGCCAGGTTACCACCAACCCCACCCCCAGGTTACCACCAACCCCACCCCCCAGGTTACCACCAACCCCACCCCCCCCCAGGTTACCACCAACCCCACCCCCCAGGTTACCACCAACCCCACCCCCAGGTTACCACCAACCCCACCCCCCAGGTTACCACCAACCCCACCCCCCAGGTTACCACCAACCCCACCCCCCAGGTTACCACCAACCCCACCCAGGTTACCACCAACCCCACCCCCAGGTTACCACCAACCCCACCCACCCCCCAGGTTACCACCAACCCCACCCCCCAGGTTACCACCAACCCCACCCCCCAGGTTACCACCAACCCCACCCCCCCAGGTTACCACCAACCCCCCCCAGGTTACCACCAACCCCCCCCAGGTTACCACCAACCCCACCCCCCAGGTTACCACCAACCCCACCCCACCAGGTTACCACCAACCCCACCCCACCAGGTTACCACCAACCCCACCGCCAGGTTACCACCAACCCCACCCCCCAGGTTACCACCAACCCCACCCACAGCCAGGTTACCACCAACCCCACCCACCAGGTACCACCAACCCCACCCCCAGGTTACCACCAACCCCCCCCAGGTTACCACCAACCCCACCCCGCCACGTTACCACCAACCCCACCCCACCAGGTTACCACCAACCCCACCCCCCAGGTTACCACCAACCCCACCCCCCAGGTTACCACCAACCCCACCCCCCAGGTTACCACCAACCCCACCCCCCAGGTTACCACCAACCCCACCCACAGCCAGGTTACCACCAACCCCCCCCAGGTTACCACCAACCCCACCGCCAGGTTACCACCAACCCCACCCACCGCCAGGTTACCACCAACCCCACCCCCCAGGTTACCACCAACCCCACCCCCAGGTTACCACCAACCCCACCGCCAGGTTACCACCAACCCCACCCCCAGGTTACCACCAACCCCACCGCCCAGGTTACCACCAACCCCACCCACCGCCAGGTTACCACCAACCCCACCCCACCAGGTTACCACCAACCCCACCGCCACGTTACCACCAACCCCACCCACCGCCAGGTTACCACCAACCCCACCGCCCAGGTTACCACCAACCCCACCCCCCAGGTTACCACCAACCCCACCCACCGCCAGGTTACCACCAACCCCACCCCCCAGGTTACCACCAACCCCACCCCCCAGGTTACCACCAACCCCACCCCGCCACGTTACCACCAACCCCACCCCCAGGTTACCACCAACCCCACCGCCAGGTTACCACCAACCCCACCCCGCCACGTTACCACCAACCCCACCCCCAGGTTACCACCAACCCCACCCACCGCCAGGTTACCACCAACCCCACCGCCCCAGGTTACCACCAACCCCACCCCGCCACGTTACCACCAACCCCACCCCACCAGGTTACCCCCAACCCCCCCCTGCCACGTTACCACCAACCCCACCCCCAGGTTACCACCAACCCCCCCCACGTTACCACCAACCCCACCCCCATGTTACCACCAATCTCACACCCCCCCAGGTTACCTGTGCTTTGGTTGCCTAGCGACCGCTGCTGCCTCACTGGCTGTGAGTGCACGGAGCGCTGTACATGGACGTCGCTGCATCCTCTGTGGAAGTGGAGAGACAAGACAAAGGTAGAGAGACAAGACAAAGGTAGAGAGACAAGACAAAGGTAGAGAGACAAGACAGAGGTAGAGAGACAAGACAAAGGTAGAGAGACAAGAAAAAGGTAGAGACAAGACAAAGGTAGAGAGACAAGACAAAGGTAGAGAGACAAGACCAGGTAGAGAGACAAGACCAGGTAGAGAGTCAAGACAAAGGTAGAGAGACAAGACAAAGGTAGAGAGACAAGACAAAGGTAGAGAGACAAGACAAAGGTAGAGAGACAAGACCAGGTAGAGAGACAAGAAAAAGGTAGAGACAAGACAAAGGTAGAGAGACAAGACAAAGGTAGAGAGACAAGACAAAGGTAGAGAGACAAGACCAGGTAGAGAGACAAGACAAAGGTAGAGAGACAAGACAAAGGTAGACAGACAAGACAAAGGTAGAGAGACAAGACAAAGGTAGAGAGACAAGACCAGGTAGAGAGACAAGACCAGGTAGAGAGACAAAGGTAGAGAGACAAGACAAAGGTAGAGAGACAAGACCAGGTAGAGAGACAAGACAAAGGTAGAGAGACAAGACAAAGGTAGAGAGTCAAGACAAAGGTAGAGAGACAAGACAAAGGTAGAGACAAGACAAAGGTAGAGAGACAAGACAAAGGTAGAGAGACAAGACAAAGGTAGAGAGACAAGACCAGGTAGAGAGACAAGACAAAGGTAGAGAGACAAGACAAAGGTAGACAGACAAGACAAAGGTAGAGAGACAAGACAAAGGTAGAGAGACAAGACCAGGTAGAGAGACAAGACCAGGTAGAGAGACAAGACAAAGGTAGAGAGACAAGACAAAGGTAGAGAGACAAGACCAGGTAGAGAGACAAGACAAAGGTAGAGAGACAAGACAAAGGTAGAGAGTCAAGACAAAGGTAGAGAGACAAGACAAAGGTAGAGAGACAAGACAAAGGTAGAGAGACAAGACAAAGGTAGAGAGACAAGACAAAGGTAGAGAGACAAGACAAAGGTAGAGAGACAAGACAAAGGTAGAGAGACAAGACAAAGGTAGAGAGACAAGACAAAGGTAGAGAGACAAGACAAATGTAGAGACAGAGAGACACAAACAAAGGTCACCCACGCAGCCTGAGTAGCGTTACAGTGGACCCTACTCACCTGTAGAGTAGTAATCTACACTCTGACGCAGTGGACCCTACACACCTGTAGAGTAGTAATCTACACTCTGACACAGTGGACCCTACACACCTGTAGAGTAGTAATCTACACTCTGACACAGTGGACCCTACACACCTGTAGAGTAGTAATCTACACTCTGACGCAGTGGGCCCTACTCACCTGTAGAGTAGTAATCTACACTCTGACACAGTGGGCCCTACACACCTGTAGAGTAGTAATCTACACTCTGAGACAGTGGACCCTACTCACCTGTAGAGTAGTAATCTACACTCTGACGCAGTGGGCCCTACTCACCTGTAGAGTAGTAATCTACACTCTGAGACAGTGGACCCTACACACCTGTAGAGTAGTAATCTACACTCTGACACAGTGGACCCTACTCACCTGTAGAGTAGTAATCTACACTCTGACACAGTGGACCCTACACACCTGTAGAGTAGTAATCTACACTCTGACACAGTGAACCCTACTCACCTGTAGAGTAGTAATCTACACTCTGAGACAGTGGACCCTACTCACCTGTAGAGTAGTAATCTACACCCTGACGCAGTGGACCCTACTCACCTGTAGAGTAGTAATCTACACTCTGACACAGTGGACCCTACACACCTGTAGAGTAGTAATCTACACTCTGAGACAGTGGACCCTACTCACCTGTAGAGTAGTAATCTACACTCTGACACAGTGGACCCTACACACCTGTAGAGTAGTAATCTACACTCTGACACAGTCTACCCTACACACCTGTAGAGTAGTAATCTACACTCTGACACAGTGGACCCTACACACCTGTAGAGTAGCAATCTACACTCTGACACAGTGGACCCTACTCACCTCTAGAGTAGTAATCTACACTCTGACACAGTGGACCCTACTCACCTGTAGAGTAGTAATCTACACTCTGACACAGTGGACCCTACACACCTGTAGAATAGTAATCTACACTCTGACACAGTGGACCCTACTCACCTCTAGAGTAGTAATCTACACTCTGACACAGTGGACCCTACACACCTGTGGCATAGTAATCTACACTCTGACGCAGTGGACCCTACACACCTGTAGAGTAGTAATCTACACTCTGACACAGTGAACCCTACTCACCTGTAGAGTAGTAATCTACACTCTGACACAGTGGACCCTACACACCTGTGGCATAGTAATCTACACTCTGACGCAGTGGACCCTACACACCTGTAGAGTAGTAATCTACACTCTGACGCAGTGGACCCTACTCACCTGTAGAGTAGTAATCTACACTCTGACACAGTGGGCCCTACTCACCTGTAGAGTAGTAATCTACACTCTGACACAGTGGACCCTACACACCTGTAGAGTAGTAATCTACACTCTGATGCAGTGGACCCTACTCACCTGTAGAGAAGTAATCTACACTCTGACACAGTGAACCCTACACACCTGTAGAGTAGTAATCTACACTCTGACACAGTGTACCCTACTCACCTGCAGAGAAGTAATCTACACTCTGACACAGTGGGCCCTACTCACCTGTAGAGTAGTAATCTACACTCTGACACAGTGGACCCTACACACCTATAGAGTAGTAATCTACACTCTGAGACAGTGGACCCTACTCACCTGTAGAGTAGTAATCTACACTCTGACGCAGTGGACCCCACTCACCTGTAGAGTAGTAATCTACACTCTGACGCAGTGGGCCCTACTCACCTGTAGAGTAGTAATCTACACTCTGACACAGTGGACCCTACTCACCTGTAGAGTAGTAATCTACACTCTGACACAGTGGACCCTACACACCTGTAGAGTAGTAATCTACACTCTGACAGTGGACCCTACTCACCTGTAGAGTAGTAATCTACACTCTGACGCAGTGGGCCCTACTCACCTGTAGAGTAGTAATCTACATTCTGACACAGTGGGCCCTACTCACCTGTAGAGTAGTAATCTACACTCTGACACAGTGGACCCTACACACCTGTAGAGTAGTAATCTACACTCTGACGCAGTGGACCCTACTCACCTGTAGAGTAGTAATCTACACTCTGACACAGTGGACCCTACACACCTGTAGAGTAGTAATCTACACTCTGACAGTGGACCCTACTCACCTGTAGAGTAGTAATCTACACTCTGACACAGTGGGCCCTACTCACCTGTAGAGTAGTAATCTACACTCTGACACAGTGGGCCCTACACACCTGTAGAGTAGTAATCTACACTCTGACACAGTGAACCCTACACACCTGTAGAGTAGTAATCTACACTCTGACACAGTGTACCCTACTCACCTGTAGAGAAGTAATCTACACTCTGACACAGTGTACCCTACACACCTGTAGAGTAGTAATCTACACTCTGACACAGTGAACCCTACACACCTGTAGAGTAGTAATCTACACTCTGACACAGTGGACCCTACTCACCTGTAGAGTAGTAATCTACACTCTGACACAGTGGGCCCTACTCACCTGTAGAGTAGTAATCTACACTCTGACATAGTGGACCCTACTCACCTGTAGAGTAGTAATCTACACTCTGACACAGTGGAACCTAGTCACATGTAGAGTAGTAATCTACACTCTGAGACAGTGGACCCTACTCACCTGTAGAGTAGTAATCTACACTCTGACACCGTGGACCCTACACACCTGTAGAGAAGTAATCTACACTCTGACACAGTGGGCCCTACACACCTGTAGAGTAGTAATCTACACTCTGACGCAGTGGACCCTACTCACCTGTAGAGTAGTAATCTACACTCTGAGACAGTGGACCCTACTCACCTGTAGAGTAGTAATCTAGACTCTGACACAGTGTACCCTACACACCTGTAGAGTAGTAATCTACACTCTGACGCAGTGGACCCTACTCACCTGTAGAGTAGTAATCTACACTCTGAGACAGTGGACCCTACTCACTTGTAGAGTAGTAATCTACACTCTGAGACAGTGGACCCTACTCACCTGTAGAGTAGTAATCTACACTCTGACACAGTGGACCCTATTCACCTGTAGAGTAGTAATCTACACTCTGACACAGTGTACCCTACTCACCTGTAGAGTAGTAATCTACACTCTGACACAGTGGACCCTACTCACCTGTAGAGTAGTAATCTACACTCTGACACAGTGAACCCCACTCACCTGTAGAGTAGTAATCTACACTCTGACACAGTAGACCCTACACACCTGTAGAGTAGTAATCTGCACTCTGACACAGTGTACCCTACTCACCTGTAGAGTAGTAATCTACACCCTGACACAGTGAACCCTACTCACATGTAGAGTAGTAATCTACACTCTGACACAGTGGACCCTACACACCTGTAGAGTAGTAATCTACACTCTGACACAGTGTACCCTACTCACCTGTAGAGTAGTAATCTACACCCTGACACAGTGAACCCTACTCACATGTAGAGTAGTAATCTACACTCTGAGACAGTGGACCCTACTCACTTGTAGAGTAGTAATCTACACTCTGAGACAGTGGACCCTACTCACCTGTAGAGTAGTAATCTACACTCTGACACAGTGGACCCTATTCACCTGTAGAGTAGTAATCTACACTCTGACACAGTGTACCCTACTCACCTGTAGAGTAGTAATCTACACTCTGACACAGTGGACCCTACTCACCTGTAGAGTAGTAATCTACACTCTGACACAGTGAACCCCACTCACCTGTAGAGTAGTAATCTACACTCTGACACAGTAGACCCTACACACCTGTAGAGTAGTAATCTGCACTCTGACACAGTGTACCCTACTCACCTGTAGAGTAGTAATCTACACCCTGACACAGTGAACCCTACTCACATGTAGAGTAGTAATCTACACTCTGACACAGTGGACCCTACACACCTGTAGAGTAGTAATCTACACTCTGACACAGTGTACCCTACTCACCTGTAGAGTAGTAATCTACACCCTGACACAGTGAACCCTACTCACATGTAGAGTAGTAATCTACACTCTGACACAGTGGACCCTACTCACCTGTAGAGTAGTAATCTACACTCTGACACAGTCTACCCTACACACCTGGAGAGTAGTAATCTACACTCTGACACAGTGGACCCTACACACCTGTAGAGTAGTAATCTACACTCTGACACAGTGGACCCTACTCACCTCTAGAGTAGTAATCTACACTCTGACACAGTGGACCCTACTCACCTGTAGAGTAGTAATCTACACTCTGACACAGTGGACCCTACACACCTGTAGAGTAGTAATCTACACTCTGACACAGTGGACCCTACACACCTGTAGAGTAGTAATCTACACTCTGACACAGTGGGCCCTACTCACCTGTAGAGTAGTAATCTACACTCTGACGCAGTGGGCCCTACACACCTGTAGAGTAGTAATCTACACTCTGACACAGTGTACCCTACTCACCTGCAGAGTAGTAATCTACACTCTGAGGCAGTGGACCCTACACACCTGTAGAGTAGTAATCTACACTCTGACACAGTCTACCCTACACACCTGTAGAGTAGTAATCTACACTCTGACACAGTGTACCCTACACACCTGTAGAGTAGTAATCTACACTCTGACACAGTGGGCCTCACTCACCTGTAGAGTAGTAATCTACACTCTGACACAGTGGGCCCTACACACCTGTAGAGTAGTAATCTACACTCTGACACAGTGGACCCTACTCACCTGTAGAGTAGTAATCTACACTCTGACACAGTGGACCCTACTCACCTGTAGAGTAGTAATCTACACTCTGACACAGTGGACCCTACTCACCTGTAGAGTAGTAATCTACACTCTGAGGCAGTGGGCCCTACTCACCTGTGGCATAGTAATCGTAGACTCTGACGGTGGCCGGTTGCAGGTTGTCCACGGCTATGTCTTGAGTGACGGACAGCTTGAGCAAAATTGGCTTCTTCTCGACCTAGGGGAGGTTGGATTCAAAATTTGCGAACGGCATCCGACAACGAGAGATCGACAACCCTCGCTCGCTCGGCAAGAGGAAAATAAGATAAAGGGAAACTTAGTGTGAACACGGGGGGAAAAAACACGTGGTAGGCCGATGTTGTTGTTGTTGTGGCAACGTTGTTGTGTAGCAGCATTGTTGTGGCAACGTTGTTGTGTGACAACGTTGTTGTGTGGCAACGTTGTTGTGGCAACGTTGTTGTGACAACGTTGTTGTGTGGCAACGTTGTTGTGGCAACGTTGTTGTGTGGCAACGTTGTTGTGGCAACGTTGTTGTGGCAACGTTGTTGTGTGGCAACGTTGTTGTGTGACAACGTTGTTGTGTGACAACGTTGTTGTGTGGCAACGTTGTTGTGGCAACGTTGTTGTGTGGCAACGTTGTTGTGTGGCAACGTTGTTGTTTGGCAACGTTGTTGTGTGGCAACGTTGTTGTGGCAACGTTGTTGTGTGGCAACGTTGTTGTGGCAGCTTTGTTGTGTGGCAACGTTGTTGTGGCAACGTTGTTGTGACAACGTTGTTGTGTGGCAACGTTGTTGTGACAACGTTGTTGTGTGGCAACGTTGTTGTGGCAACGTTGTTGTGTGGCAACGTTGTTGTGGCAACGTTGTTGTGGCAACGTTGTTGTGTGGCAACGTTGTTGTGTGACAACGTTGTTGTGTGACAACGTTGTTGTGTGGCAACGTTGTTGTGGCAACGTTGTTGTGTGGCAACGTTGTTGTGTGGCAACGTTGTTGTGTGGCAACGTTGTTGTGTGGCAACGTTGTTGTGGCAACGTTGTTGTGTGGCAACGTTGTTGTGGCAGCTTTGTTGTGTGGCAACGTTGTTGTGGCAACGTTGTTGTGGCAACGTTGTTGTGGCAACGTTGTTGTGTGGCAACGTTGTTGTGGCAACGTTGTTGTGGCAACGTTGCAGACGGTTTGGAATATGTTCGATTCAGATGGCTCAGCACTACAGCGCCCCCTACTGGACATCACGGTGACTAGGAGATGTTAACTACCTCGCCAGGTGTACAGGAGGTCGTGGGTTTAATCCCCACCCTGACGATGCCTGCTGTATGTTTGAACTTTGCGTGTCTCTCTCTCTCTCTCAGTATCACCATCATCATCACCATCACGGTGACTAGGAGATGTTAACTACCTCGCCTGGTGTACAGGAGGTCGTGGGTTTAATCCCCACCCTGACGATGCCTGCTGTATGTTTGGAGTTTGCGTGTCTCTCTCTCTCTCACAGTATCATCATCATCATGACGGTGCTAGGAGATGTTAACTACCTCGCCTGGTGTACAGGAGGTCGTGGGTTTAATCCCCACCCTGACAATGCCTGCTGTATGTTTGGAGTTTGCGTGTCTCTCTCTCTCTCAGTATCACCATCATCATCATCATCACGGTGACTAGGAGATGTTAACTACCTCGCCTGGTGTACAGGAGGTCGTGGGTTTAATCCCCACCCTGACGATACCTGCTGTATGTTTGGACTTTGCGTGTCTCTCTCTCTCTCAATATCATCATCATCATCATCACGGTGACTAGGAGATGTTAACTACCTCGCCTTGTATACAAGAGGTCGTGGATGCAATTCCGACCTTAATGCCTGCTGCTGAGTCTGCTTGTCTCTCTCTCTCTCTCCACATTTCGAATGAACATCGCCGCGCGTGTAGAGTATTTGTCTGCCGCTATACATTTGCACACGATGAGAAAGACGACGATGATGATGATGATGATGACGATCAAGCCGCATCTTCCTTGATCGGCTATAATTCGTAATAGCCAGGGGTAGCTTCTGACAAAAGAGCAACTAAATAGCAGCCTAGTGGGGCCTTACAACTGGTGAAATGAAAATAAGTTTATAGTTTAATAGTTTCTTACAGGACCCTGCTGGACGTCTGCGGAAAAAAAGAGCTTCATGGCTCATCGGATTTCTCCGGGGACGAAATCAAGATTCTGATTCGTGGTGGCTGCCAATCAGAAGGTTCGCATCCCTTGTTAGGGGATTATGACTCAGAATCTGTGTTTAGACTGGAGGAGGGGGAAGAGGAGGGGGGGGGAGGTGGAGGAGGGCGAGGGGGAGGAGGAGGGGGAGGAGGAGGGGGAGGAGGAGGGGGAGGAGGGGGGGAGGTGGAGGAGGGGGGGGGGATGAGGAGGAGGGGGAGGAGGGGGGGGGAGGAGAAGGGGAGGGAGAGGGAGGAGGGGGAGGGAGGGAGAGAGAGGAGGGGGAAAGAGAAGAGGGAGGGGGCAGAAGGAGGAGGGGGGGGAGGAGGAGGGGGAGGAGGAGGGGGGGGAGGAGGAGGGGGGGGAGGAGGAGGAGGAGGGGGAGGAGGGGGAGGAGGAGGAGGGGGAGGAGGAGGGGGAGGAGGAGGGGGAGAGGTTAGGAGGAGGAGGAGGGGGGGGAGGAGGAGGAGGGGAGAGGGAGGAGCAGGGGGTGGAAGAGAGGGAGAATGAGGGAGAGAGAGGAGGAGAGGGAGGAGGAGGTGGGGAGGAGGGGGATGAGGGGAGGGAGAGAGAGGAGGGGGAAAGAGAAGAGGGAGGGGGCAGAAGGAGGGGGGGGGGAGGAGGGGGGGGATGAGGGGGAGGGGGGATGAGGTGGGGAGGGGTCCCAGCCCACACCAAGACACCATGAGCACCACCACTCAAGTTGGAGTTCCCCGGCTGCTCACCTTGTCCAGGTAAATGACCACGCGGCTTGCATCCACCTCGACCTTCTTCACGAAGTCGTAGAAACTCTGCAGCTGTGTTAGAGACAATACGCGGGTTCAGGAGACATCGGAGGGATGTGATGTGACGTGACATCAGAGCAGTGATGATGTGATGTGACATCAGAGCAGTGATGTGATGTGACATTGGAGGGATGTGATGTGATGTGACATCGGAGCGGTGATGTGATGTGACATCGGAGCGGTGATGTGATGAGACATCAGAGCAGTGATGTGATGTGACATTGGAGCGGTGATGTGATGTGACATCGGAGCGGTGATGTGATGTGACATCGGAGCGGTGATGTGATGTGATGTGACATCGGAGCCTGTGGATTGTTCCACCGCAAGTGGTGGTGGCTGACTGTTAGTGGACGAGCTTTCATCCAGCAGCAGATTGACCACGGCTGCTGATGGCCATTGACGACGATGACGACGACGACGATGACGACGATGATGACTATGGAGACGATGGAGACACACCAACCTCTTTAAGAGAAGACTTCACCGGGCTGTACCCGGAGATCATCTTCACCTCCACGAGGGCCATGTTCGACTCGCCTCTCTCGCCGTGGTAGCTGAAGAAGGAGGGAGGGAGGGAGGGGAGAAGAGAAATCACAAGGAGGGAGGGAGAAGGAGGAGGAGGATGAGGAGGAGGATGAGGAGGAGGATGAGCATCACATGGTGACGCTCATTGATGGCAATGTTTGGCTCCCGCACTTTGTAGGCCTCCATCTCTCGGATCGACGTCCGCGGTGCATTAAGCAGCACTGCCTATAGACTCAGAGACTCAGCACTGCCCATAGACTCATAGACTCAGCACTGCCTATAGACTCATAGACTCAGCACTGCCCATAGACTCATAGACTCAGCACTGCCCATAGACTCAGCACTGCCTATAGACTCATAGACTCAGCACTGCCTATAGACTCAGCACTGCCCATAGACTCAGCAATGCCTATAGACTCATAGACTCAGCACTGCCCATAGACTCAGCACTGCCTATAGACTCATAGACTCAGCACTGCCTATAGACTCAGCACTGCCCATAGACTCATAGACTCAGCACTGCCCATAGACTCAGCACTGCCTATAGACTCAGACTCAGCACTGCCTATAGACTTATAGACTCAGACTCATAGACTCAGCACTGCCTATAGACTCAGCACTGCCTATAGACTCAGACTCAGCACTGCCTATAGACTCATAGACTCAGCACTGCCCATAGACTCAGCACTGCCCATAGACTCATAGACTCAGCACTGCCCATAGACTCAGACTCAGCACTGTCTATAGACTCATAGACTCAGCACTGCCCATAGACTCAGCACTGTCTATAGACTCATAGACTCAGCACTGCCCATAGACTCAGCACTGCCCATAGACTCATAGACTCAGCACTGCCCATAGACTCAGACTCAGCACTGTCTATAGACTCATAGACTCAGCACTGCCCATAGACTCAGCACTGTCTATAGACTCATAGACTCAGCACTGCCCATAGACTCAGCACTGCCCATAGACTCATAGACTCAGCACTGCCTATAGACTCATAGACTCAGCACTGTCTATAGACTCATAGACTCAGCACTGTCTATAGACTCAGAGACTCAGCACTGCCCATAGACTCAGACTCAGCACTGCCTATAGACTCAGACTCAGCACTACCTATAGACTCAGCACTGCCCATAGACTCAGCACTGCCTATAGACTCAGACTCAGCACTACCTATAGACTCAGCACTGCCCATAGACTCAGCACTGCCTATAGACTCAGACTCAGCACTACCTATAGACTCAGCACTGCCCATAGACTCAGCACTGCCTATAGACTCAGCACTGCCCATAGACTCAGAACTGCCCATAGACTCAGACTCAGTACTGCCTATAGACTCAGAGACTCAGCACTGCCCATAGACTCAGCACTGCCTATAGACTCAGAGACTCAGCACTGCCTATAGACTCATAGACTCAGCACTGCACATAGACTCAGAGACTCAGCACTGCCTATAGACTCATAGACTCAGCACTGCCCATAGACTCAGCACTGCCTATAGACTCATAGACTCATCACTGCCTACTGATAGACTCAGCACTGCCTATAGACTCAGCACTGCCCATAGACTCAGCACTGCCTATAGATTCATTTACTCGGCATTGCCTATAGACTCATAGACTCAGCACTGCCCATGGACTTATAGACTCAGCACTGCCTATAGACTCAGCACTGCCTATAGACTCATAGACTAATCACTGCCTACTGATAGACTCAGCACTGCCTATAGACTCATAGACTCAGCACTGCCTATAGACTCATAGACTCAGCACTGCCGATAGACTCATAGACTCAGCACTGCCTATAGACTCATAGACTCAGCACTGCCTATAGACTCAGCACTGCCTATAGACACATAGACTCAGCACTGCCTATAGACTCATAGACTCAGCACTGCCTATAGACTCAGCACTGACTATAGCCTCATTTACTCAGCATTGCCTATAGACTCATAGACTCAGCACTGCCTATGGACTCAGAGACTCAGCACTGTTCATAGACTCATAGACTCAGCACTGCCTATAGACTCAGCACTGCCTATAGACTCATAGACTCAGCACTGCCTATAGACTCATAGACTCAGCACTGCCCATAGATTCATAGACTCAGCACTGCCTATAGACTCATAGACTCAGCACTGCCCATAGACTCAGCACCACCTATAGACTCATAGACTCAGCACTGCCTACTAATAGACTCAGCACTGCCTATAGACTCAGCACTGCCTATAGACTCATAGACTCAGCACTGCCTATAGACTCATAGACTCAGCACTGCCCATAGACTCAGCACTGTCTATAGACTCAGAGACTCAGCACTGCCTATAGACTCAGCACTGCCTATAGATTCATAGACTCAGCACTGCCTACTCATGGACTCAGCACTGCCTATAGACTCATAGACTCAGCACTGCCTATAGACTCAGCACTGTCTATAGACTCATAGACTCAGCACTGCCTATAGACTCAGCACTGCCTATAGACTCATAGACTCAGCACTGCCTATAGACTCAGTACTGCCTATAGACTCAGACTCAGCACTGCCTATAGACTCATAGACTCAGCACTGCCTATAGCCTCAGCACTGCCTATAGACTCATAGCCTCAGCACTGCCTATAGACTCAGACTCAGCACTGCCTATAGACTCAGCACTGCCTATAGACCCATAGACTCAGCACTGCCTATAGACTCAGCACTGCCTATAGACTCATTTACTCGGCATTGCCTATAGACTCATAGACTCAGCACTGCCCATGGACTTATAGACTCAGCACTGTTCATAGACTCAGCACTGCGTATAGACTCAGCACTGCCTATAGACTCATAGACTCAGCACTGCCTATAGACTCATAGACTCAGCACTGCCTACAAACTCATAGACTCAGCACTACCCATAGACTCATAGACTCAGCAGTGCCTATAGACTCATAGACTCAGCAATCCCTATAGACTGATAGACTCAGCACTGCCTATAGACTCATAGACTCAGCACTGCCCATAGACTCAGCACTGCCTATAGATTCATAGACTCAGCACTGCCTACTCATAGACTCAGCACTGCCTATAGACTCAGAGACTCAGCACTGTCCATAGACTCATAGACTCAGCACTGCCCATAGACTCAGCACTGCTTATAGACTCATAGACTCAGCACTGCCCAGAGACTCATAGACTCAGCACTGCCTATAGACTCAGCACTGTCTATAGACTCATAGACTCAGCACTGCCTACTCATGGACTCAGCACTGCCCATAGACTCATAGACTCAGCACTGCCTATAGACTCAGCACTGCCTATAGACTCATAGACTCAGCACTGCCTATAGACTCATAGACTCAGCACTGCCTATAGACTAATTTAATCAGCATTGCCTATAGACTCATAGACTCAGCACTGCCCATAGATTCATAGACTCAGCACTGCCTATAGACTCATAGACTCAGCACTGCCCATAGACTCAGCACCACCTATAGACTCATAGACTCAGCACTGCCTACTAATAGACTCAGCACTGCCTATAGACTCAGCACTGCCTATAGACTCATAGACTCAGCACTGCCTATAGACTCATAGACTCAGCACTGCCCATAGACTCAGCACTGTCTATAGACTCAGAGACTCAGCACTGCCTATAGACTCAGCACTGCCTATAGATTCATAGACTCAGCACTGCCTACTCATGGACTCAGCACTGCCTATAGACTCATAGACTCAGCACTGCCTATAGACTCAGCACTGTCTATAGACTCATAGACTCAGCACTGCCTATAGACTCAGCACTGCCTATAGACTCATAGACTCAGCACTGCCTATAGACTCAGTACTGCCTATAGACTCAGACTCAGCACTGCCTATAGACTCATAGACTCAGCACTGCCTATAGCCTCAGCACTGCCTATAGACTCATAGCCTCAGCACTGCCTATAGACTCAGACTCAGCACTGCCTATAGACTCAGCACTGCCTATAGACCCATAGACTCAGCACTGCCTATAGACTCAGCACTGCCTATAGACTCATTTACTCGGCATTGCCTATAGACTCATAGACTCAGCACTGCCCATGGACTTATAGACTCAGCACTGTTCATAGACTCAGCACTGCGTATAGACTCAGCACTGCCTATAGACTCATAGACTCAGCACTGCCTATAGACTCATAGACTCAGCACTGCCTACAAACTCATAGACTCAGCACTACCCATAGACTCATAGACTCAGCAGTGCCTATAGACTCATAGACTCAGCAATCCCTATAGACTGATAGACTCAGCACTGCCTATAGACTCATAGACTCAGCACTGCCCATAGACTCAGCACTGCCTATAGATTCATAGACTCAGCACTGCCTACTCATAGACTCAGCACTGCCTATAGACTCAGAGACTCAGCACTGTCCATAGACTCATAGACTCAGCACTGCCCATAGACTCAGCACTGCTTATAGACTCATAGACTCAGCACTGCCCAGAGACTCATAGACTCAGCACTGCCTATAGACTCAGCACTGTCTATAGACTCATAGACTCAGCACTGCCTACTCATGGACTCAGCACTGCCCATAGACTCATAGACTCAGCACTGCCTATAGACTCAGCACTGCCTATAGACTCATAGACTCAGCACTGCCTATAGACTCATAGACTCAGCACTGCCTATAGACTAATTTAATCAGCATTGCCTATAGACTCATAGACTCAGCACTGCCTATGGACTCATAGACTCAGCACTGTTCATAGACTCATAGACTAAGCACTGCCTATAGACTCAGCACTGCCTATAGACTCATAGACTCAGCACTGCCTATAGACTCATAGACTCAGCACTGCCAATAGACTCATAGACTCAGCACTGCCCATAGACTCATAGACTCAGCACTGCCTATAGACTCATAGACTCAGCAATCCCTATAGACTCATAGACTCAGCACTGCCTATATACTCATAGACTCAGCACTGCCTATAGACTCAGCACTGCCTATAGACTCATAGTCTCAGCACTGTCTATAGACTCAGCACTGCCTATAGACCCATAGACTCAGCACTGCCTATACTCATAGACTCAGCACTGCCCATAGACTCATAGACTCAGCACTGCCTATAGACTCATAGACTCAGCAATCCCTATAGACTCATAGACTCAGCACTGCCTATAGACTCAGCACTGCCTATAGACTCAGAGACTCAGCACTGCCCATAGACTCATAGACTCAGCACTGCCCATAGACTCAGCACTGCCTATAGACTCATAGACTCAGCACTGTCCAAAGACTCAAAGACTCAGCACTGCCCATAGACTCATAGACTCAGCACTGTCTATAGACTCATAGACTCAGCAATCCCTATAGACTCATAGACTCAGCACTGCCTATAGACTCATAGTCTCAGCACTGCCCATAGACTCAGCACTGCCTATAGACTCAGAGACTCAGCACTGTCCAAAGACTCAAAGACTCAGCACTGCCTATAGACTCATAGACTCAGCACTGCCCATAGACTCATAGACTCAGCACTGCCTATAGACTCATAGACTCAGCAATCCCTATAGACTCATAGACTCAGCACTGCCTATAGACTCATAGTCTCAGCACTGCCCATAGACTCAGCACTGCCTATAGACTCAGAGACTCAGCACTGCCCATAAACTCATAGACTCAGCACTGCCTATAGACTCATAGATTCAACACTGTCCATAGACTCATAGACTAAGCACTATCCATAGACGCATAGACTCAGCACTGTCCATAGACTCATAGACTCAGCACTGCCCATAGACTCATAGACTCAACACTGCCCATAGACTCAGCACTGCCTATAGACTAATAGACTCAGCACTGTCCAAAGACTCATAGACTCAGCACTGCCCATAGACTCATAGACTCAGCACTGCCTATAGACTCAGCACTGTCTATAAACTCATAGACTCAGCACTGCCTACTCATGGACTCAGCACTGCCTATAGACTCATAGACTCAGCACTGCCTACTCATAGACTCAGCACTGCCCAAAGACTCTGTACTGCCTATAGACTCATAGATTCAACACTGTCCATAGACTCATAGACTAAGCACTATCCATAGACGCATAGACTCTGCACTGTCCATAGACTCATAGACTCAGCACTGCCCATAGACTCATAGACTCAGCACTGTCCATAGACTCAGCACTGCCTATAGACTCATAGACTCAGCACTGCCCATAGACTCATAGACTCAGCACTGTCCATAGACTCAGCACTGCCTATAGACTCATAGATTCAACACTGTCCATAGACTCATAGACTCAGCACTGTCCATAGACTCATAGACTCAGCACTGTCCATAGACTCATAGACTCAGCACTGTCCATAGACTCATAGACTCAGCACTGCCTATAGACTCATAGACTCAGCAATCCCTATAGACTCATAGACTCAGCACTGCCTATAGACTCATAGTCTCAGCACTGCCCATAGACTCAGCACTGCCTATAGACTCAGAGACTCAGCACTGCCCATAAACTCATAGACTCAGCGTTGCCCGATCCCAGGCTCTAAGCTATGCTGGGTGCAGTGTCCCCTCACACGGCCATCGTGAACCCCATGCAATGGCCACCTGACTTCCACGTTGATTTGGAAGCCCTTGCGTGCTGCCTTGGAGCAATTTGCCGGGTTGGTGGCCACGGAGAGGCTGAACTTGGGCTTCGAAGCTTTGGGGGGTTCGTTGTACTTGAGAGAGACCTGCAGCGACAACAGACAAAGATCCCCCGTGTAGCCTCTAACAGACTGTTGGGGCAAGTGCTGTTAGCGAGTAGCAAGTAGCAGCGCCTATACACAGACAAAGATCCCCCGTGTAGCCTCTAACAGGCTGTTGGGGCAAGTGCTGTTAATAGCGAGTAGCAGCGCCTATACACAGACATCGATCCCCCGTGTAGCCTCTAACAGACTGTTGGGGCAAGTGCTGTTAGTAACGAGTAGCAGCAGCACCTATACACAGGCAAAGATCCCCCCTGTAGCCTCTAACAGACTGTTGGGGCAAGTGCTGTTAGTAACGAGTAGCAATGCCTATACACAGACAAAGATCCCCCATGTAGCCTCGAACAGACTCTTGGGGCAAGTGCTGTTAGTCGTAACGAGTAGCTGCACCTATACACAGACAAAGATCCCCCGTGTAGCCTCTAACATACTGTTGGGGCAAGTGCTGTTAGTAGCAGCGAGTAGCAGCACCTATACACAGACAAAGAGCCCCCGTGTAGCCTCAAACATACTGTTGGGGCAAGTGCTGTTAGTAGCGAGTAGCAATGCCTATACACAGACCAACTGTGCCCCTCGGTCGAACCGGCGTCTCGCCTGGTATACAGGAGGTCGGGGGTTCGATCCCGACCCTGACGCCTGCTGTATATTTGGAGTTTGCGTCTCTCTCTTTCCCCGTGGTCTTGTGGATTTTTATTATTTTGCTGCTATAAATGTCCAAAGGATGAGCCACTTTTGTTGAGATATCATTTGTGGCCAGGTCGCTTGCGAACAACGAGCGAATACCTCAGTGGGCTCTGCCTGGTAGGATGGGGATGATTTAGCGTTGTATTTGTGTGTGATTGAGTGATGCGTTTAACTTTCTTGTACTTTGCACTGCTATCGTGTTTGTGTAACTGTGTTGTTGTTGTTGTAACGTTCTTACTCCCGTGTGCCCCTGACTGGGAAATCTGTGAACAAAACAGCTGTATAGCTCATCGGATTCCGAGTTAACACCTCGCCAAATTCTAGATTTGAAGCTTTCGTGACTGCAAGGATCCACACTCTTTGGTTCTATTCGGTAAAGTCACGTAGGTAAAAAATAAAACAACAAAAATCACGACGTTTCGACCACAACACAAGTGGCCTTGTTAACACCTCGCCTATATCTTCTTCCTGTTGGTAGGTCTACAGACCTGGAGTTAGATCTTACCCTGTCATGGTGATCATCATCGTCATCATGACAGCACGGCCCATTCACCTGATGAAGGCCACGTGTGTTGTGGCCGAAACGTCGTGATTTTTGGCATTTTAATTTTTTACCCACGTGACTTTACCGAATAGAACCAAAGAGTATGGAACATCGCCAAATGCAGGCATCGTCAGGGTTGGCATTGAGCCCGCGACCTCCTGCAGACCAGGCGAGGTAGTCAACATCTCCTCGCCCCCCCCTGTGGTGTGGGCCCCACCCGCGCCCTCACCTGGAAGAGCACGCAGCCCTGGCCCGTGGCCTCCACGATGCAGGAGGACACCAGGGGAGCAGGAACAGGAGGAGGCAGCTGCACCTGGTGCAGGATTAGGGCGTTGGTGGCGTCGATGGAGACCTCCCGGAGCAAAGTGCGAGCCGAGTCCAGCACGACCGCCTTGATACCGCCACCACCACCACCACCAGCGCCACCGCCTCCACCACTGTGCATCAGGGCGGCAAAGGCCGACAGGGCTTGCAGGCCAACTACTGTGTCCTGCTTGGGGTTGGTCAAAGAGGGAGGGAGGGAGGGAGGGAGGGAGGGAGGGAGGGAGGGAGGGAGGGAGGGAGGGAGGGAGGGAGGGAGGGAGGGAGGGAGGGAGGGAGGGAGGGAGGGAGGGAGGGAGGGAGGGAGGGAGGGAGGGAGGGTAGAAATGGCAAGAGCTCAACACGACGGCAAGAAGATCTAACTCAAGGTCTGTAGACCCACCAGCAGCAATAAGATCTAACTCAAGGTCTGTAGACCCACCAGCAGCAATAAGATCTAACTCAAGGTCTGTAGACCCACCAGCAGCAATAAGATCTAACTCAAGATCTGTAGACCCATCAGCAACATGAAGATCTAACTCAAGGTCTGTAGACACCAGGAGCAAGAAGATCTAACTCACGTTCTGTAGACCCATCAGTAGCAAGACGATCTAACTCAAGATCTGTAGACACCAGCAGCAAGAAGATCTAACTCAAGGTCTGTAAACCCACCAGCAGCAAGGAGATCGAACTCAAGATCTGTAAACCCCTTCAGCAGCAAGAAGATCTAACTCAAGGTCTGTAGACCCACCAGCAGCAAGACGTTCTAACTCAAGATCTGTAGACCCATCAGCAACATGAAGATCTAACTCAAGATCTGTAAACCCATCAGTAGCAAGGAAATCTAACTCAAGATCTGTAGACACATCAGCAGCAAGAAGATCTAACTCCAGGTCTGTAGACACACCAGTAGCAAGGAGATCTAACTCAAGATCTGTAGACCCATCAGCAGCAAGAAGATCGAACTCAAGGTCTGTAGACACATCAGCAGCAAGGAGATCTAACTCAAGATCTGTAGACACATCAGCAGCAAGAAGATCTAACTCCAGGTCTGTAGACCCACCAGCAGTAGGAGGATCTGATTCAGGGGGTGACCAATGGAGTCAGAGGTCAGAAAAATCTGCTTACATGCAAGGACACCTGCATGCAAGCAGATCTTACCCTGTCGTGGTGATCATCATCATCACCATCATTATCAATCATCACCATCGATTACCACAATCATCAATCATAAAGATCAATCATCATCAAACATGATCGCCATCAAACACCATCATCATCATCAACCACCATCACCACCACAGTGGCCATGAACACCACAACGAGCGTGATGATGACGGGCTGCGGTGACGGGCTACGGTGACGGGCTGCGGTGACTGGCTGCGGTGACGGGCTACGGTGACTGGCTACGGTGACGGGCTACGGTGACGGGCTGCGGTGACGGGCTACGGTGACTGGCTACGGTGACGGGCTACGGTGATGGGCTACGGTGACGGGCTACGGTGACGGGCTGCGGTGATGGGCTGCGGTGATGGGCTACGGTGACGGGCTGCGGTGACTGGCTACAGTGACTGGCTACAGTGACGGGCTGCGGTGACGGGCTACGGTGACGGGCTACGGTGACGGGCTACGGTGACGGGCTACAGTGACTGGCTACGGTGACTGGCTACGGTGACGGGCTGCGGTGACGGGCTGCCACAACGAGCGGTGGCGACCGCCCTCCTCGCCTGCGTGGACGAGAACCCCCCGTAGGCGTTCCGCTGCTTGCTCAGCCACTGCACGACGCCGATGTTGGAGCTCGTCGCCGAGGCGTCGAGCCGCCGGGGAGCCGCCAGGCGGCTCAGCAGCGCGTACGCCGTCGTCTCCACGGCGGCCGACGTGGCCCCGCCGTAGGGCCGTCGGAAGTTGAAGCCCCCCTCCTCGTCGTCCTCGTCGTCCTCCTCCTTCTTGGCCTCTTCCCAGTGCGTGAGCCCGCCTGGCACAGGGGGCGGCGACGATCGTCAGGTCGGTCACGCGGAAGGTCGTGGGTTCGATCCCGAACCTGACTTATGCATACTGCTGTATATTTGGAGTGTGCGTGTCTCTCTCTCTCTCTCGTCATTATCAAGGTGGCTAGGAGATGTTGACTACCTCGCCGGGTATACAGGAGGTCGTGGGTTCGATCCCGAACCTGACGATGCCTGTCTCTCTCTCTGTCTCTCTGTCTCTCTCTCCCCGTAGTGAGATGTTGACTACCTTTGAATGGTGTAGAGAAGGTCGTGGGTTTTAATTCTGACACTGTCGACACCTGCTGTATATTTGGAGTTTGCTTGTCTCTCTCTCATCATCATCACCATGGTGGCTAGGAGATGTTGACTACCTCGCCGGGTATACAGAAGGTCGTGGGTTTTAATTCTGACCCTGACGAAACCTGCTGTATATGTGGAGTTTGAGTGTCTCTCTCTCATCATCATCACCATGGTGGCTAGGAGATGTTAACTACCTCGCCGGGTATGCAGGAGGTCGTGGGTTTGATCCCGACCCTGACGATGGATGCATCTCCAGGTCCTCCTGTTTTCCCCTCCACATGTACAATCAACATGCACTCAGAGTATTGGCTGCTGCTATAAATATCCACATGATGATGATAAGCCACTTCGTTGAGCTCTGAAAAAAAGAGCTATATAGCTAAAAAGCTCAGTGAGCCTTACCTGGTAAAAAAAAATATATAAAACTAGTTTAGCATAGTACGATTGGCCACATACGGTGCAAATTAAGTTCAACATACACACACACAGCACAGTTGGCTACGTACGGTGCAAATGAAGTTCAACACACACACACACATAGCACGGTTGGCTACATACGGTGCAAATGAAGTTCAACATACACATAGCACGGTTGGCTACGCACGGTGTGAAAGAATTTCAACCACACACACAGCACGATTGGCTACGTACGGTGCAAAAGAAGTTCAGCGTACCCATACACACAGCACGGTTGGCTACGTACGGTGCAATAGAAGTTCAGCGTACACATAGCACGGTTGGCTACGCACGGTGTGAAAGAATTTCAACCACACACACAGCACGGTTGGCTACGTACGGTGCGAAAGAAGTTCAGCGTACACATACACATTGCACGGTTGGCTACGTACGGTGCAAATGAAGTTCAACATACACATAGCACGGTTAGCTACGTACGGTGCAAAAGAAGTTCAACATACACACAGCACGGTTGGCTACGTACGGTGCAAAAGAAGTTCAGCGTACACATACACATAGCACGGTTGGCTACGTACGGTGCGAAAGAAATTCAACCACACACACAGCACGGTTGGCTACGTACGGTGCAAATGAAGTTCAACACACACACAGCACGGTTGGCTACGTACGGTGCAAAAGAAGTTCAGCGTACACACATCAACACCCGACTTGACATCCCGACGCCTGTGGCGGCCACGTCTCATTCCTCTCTCCATTGACGCGGCAGCGCCTCCGTCCAAGGCAGCGCTTTACAATCGTCACGAAACAGGAGGTGCTAAGATCGGTTTAGCATGAAGAAGGCTTTCGCGACCTATTCATGAATTTTTATTTATTTAAAGCTTTCGTGACCGCAGGGATTCATATTCTTGGTTCTTTCGGTGAAGTCACCACGTAGAAGGGAAACAATAAAATAATAAAAATGTAAAACAATAAAATTCTCACGACGTTTCGACTGCAACACAAGCAATCATCATCAGAAATTTTTCTTGCTGTGGTTTTCACACCTGATGATGATTGCTTGCGTGTTGCAGTCGAAACGTCGTGAGAATTTTATTGTTTTATATTTTTATCATTTCATTGTTTCCCTTCTACGTAGTGACTTTACCGAAATAACCAATAATATGGACCTATTCATAATAAAGGTTTTTGGTTTAGAAGTATAAATGTTGTGTCATCACCCTCCACCACCCGACACAGCCAGTAAGGTTTGTCACGTAAACAATGCGCCAATTAGTTACTAGTATAGTATAGTGTGTAGTAGTGTATAGTGTAGTGTATAGTGGTGTAAAGTGCAGTGTATATTGGTTTATAGTGTAGTGTATAGTAGTGTATAGTTTAATGAAAAGTGTATAGTAGTGAATAGTGTAGTGTGTAGTGGTGTATAGTGTAGTGTATATTGGTTTATAGTGTAGTGTATAGTAGTGTATAGTGTAATGGAAAGTGTATAGTAGTGTATAGTGTAGCATGTAGTAGTGTATAGTGTAGTGCATAGTCGTGTATAGTGTAGTTTATAGTAGTGTATAGTGTAATGAAAAGTGTGTAGTAGTCTATAGTGTAGTGTATAGTGTAGTGTATAGTGTAGTTTATAGTGTAGTTTATAGTGTAGTTTATAGTGTAGTTTACTACTTCAGCCCAACGGCGTGTTGGAGAGTAAATTTGAGCAGTACGACGTTCCGCTGGTAATTATGTTGTGACTGTGCATGTCACTGTGTGTTGCCGGCCTTGCGAGGCCACGGCGGATAATATGTTGTCATTATGTGCAGCCCGGTTACTGGGCCTAGTGCCACCGGCCCTAGCGGGGCTTGGGTGAGCGCTGGTTAGCGCAGAGGCACCACGTCCGGTGTGCGGTGCGGGCTCACGGTGAGGGAGCGAGAGCGAGCGTCAGCCAGCCAGTGTCACGTTGGGGCACGGTATGCCGGTTGACCTGCCGACGCGTGACCGGATGATATTGGAGGGGCACCACCGGTGTACGGGGGCCCGCTGGGTGGTCACGCGGTATAGAGGAGCTCTCGGGAGCCTTCGGGAAAGGGCCAGCGAGATCGAGAAGGTGGGCGGGGCGAGAGGCGGAGCCAGCCCCGGCCAGGGGCCGATATAACGGGGGGCCCCGTGTGGGGCTCGGGGTTCGTGACCGCTGGTGAGCGAAGATCCACGTCGGGTTGAAGAAGCCTCGGGCCACGCGGTCCGGGACCGGGATATAGCGGGACCATGTCTAGTTCTGCCATAGCGTGGTTAGATGGGGCGTTCAACACCCGAGTGTAGGTTACGTTATGTTGTGTTGAGCTGATGTCATAAATAGTGTTGCTCCCAAGACAACGTCTGCGACTCACTAGAATTACATCCAGCCAGAATAGTGAAGCAATCCACCAGCTTCTTGTCTTAAATAGAGCAAGATTGACGTCATCATGTTAAGATGTTCAAACACCAAATGGAGAAATTTTTTTGCAAGGAATCGAGTCACTGCATTGATCGCACACGGTACTTGTGCTGAACATGCAAACACTAACATGGCTCTGATAAATTTTGATTTAAAGCTATCGTTACTGCAGGGATTCATATTCTCGGTTCTTTCGGCAAAGTCACCACGTCGAAGGGGAAACAATAAAATAATAAAAATATAAAACAATAAAATTCTATTTTGTATTTTTATTATTTAATGGTTTCCCTTCTACGTGACTTTACCGAAATAACCAAGGACATGGCTCTGATAATTAAATATGGCATTGTCTTTGAAACCGATTGGCCTGCACCGTAGACAGCCTTCTTTAGGGCCTAGTCTGACCAGTACCAGACCACAGAACGCCGCAAGGCGAACAGCACAAGGACGATGCCACCATCAGAACATTTATTACTCAGGGTGAGCAACTACAAAATGGGACCTTTTTCCAGCATCAATAAAGCACGAGGCGTTAAGATGATGTTCGATGGAGCTCGAAGGCGCAATGAGATCTGTGTCTACAGAGTTGTCCATATTCGGAGGTGTTTGGGTCAGATCCGTTAAACCCGCCACCACCCGACACGGCCAATTCGAAAGGCTTGTGTCACCTAAACAACACACGCCAATTCGTTACTAGCACGGCACACCGGTATGTCGGAGCGTTAAAGCCACGACAACATTTACCATTCGAGTAGCGTGGAGGTTTCGCCGGTAATTAGAACCACCATCATCAGGCGACAGCCACAGAGTTGTGGACAAATCCTCCTCCTGTTCCACAGAGTTGTTGTTTGACGCGGCGCTTCGCGGGCGGGTGAACGGAGTTCACAACTTCGGAGAGCGCCGCCAATTGACGAAAGATTTCGGGGTGATCGTCGATTACGTTTAGTCTGTTTGCTGGTTGCATTGACGACGTCTCGGTCTTACACGCGTTCAGTTTTGGCCCAAATCCTTTCGCTGCAGCAGCAAAATGGCGAGCCATTTCTCGAAAGTCACTCTGGTAGTATATGATGCATTGTCTTTGAAGCTGATTGGTTCGCACCAGAGACAGCTTTCTTTACAGCCTAGTCTCAAAGTGTTACCCCAGAGGAAGCCAAAAGGTGAACAGCACAAAGACAATGCCACCTGTCAGGGCATTTCTAGCTCGGGGTGAGCATTTACAGAATGGGACCTTTCTTGGCAGTAAACCACGGCCGCTTTTTAAAATTTCTTTACTAACCAGATTTTTAAATGAGAGAGATTTATTTACTAACCAGGTTGTGAAATGAGAAAGATTTATTTACTAACCAGGTGTTGAAATGAGAGAGATTTCTTTACTAACAAGGTTTTGAAATGACCGAGATTTCTTTACCCCTATCACTGCCTCTATGACTACCCTTACCCCTATCGTTACACCAACCCATATCTTTACCCTTATCACTATCCCTATAACTACCCCTACTCCAACCCCTACCATCACTGCCCCTGTATCTCTACCCCATCACTATCCCTATCACTACCCCTACCCCAACACCTACCATCACTGCCCCTGTATCTCTACCCCTATCACTATCCCTATCACTATCCCAACCCCTACTATCACTGCACTTGTATCTCTCCCCCTATCACTACCCCTACCATCACTACCCCTACCCCTACCATCACTGCCCCTGTATCTCTACCCCTATCACTACCCCAACCACTACCATCACTGCCCCTGTATCTCTCCCCCTATCACTACCCCTACCCCAACCTCTACCATCACTGCCCCTGTATCTCTACCCCTATCACTACCCCTACCCCAACCTCTACCATCGCTGCCCCTGTATCTCTACCCCTATCACTACCCCTACCCCAACCTCTACCATCACTGCCCCTGTATCTCTACCCCTATCACTACCCCTACCCCTACCCTACCATTACTGCCCCTGTATCTCTCCCCCTATCACTACCCCTACCATCACTGCCCCTTTATCTCTACCCCTATCACTACCCCTATTACTACCATCACTGCCCCTGTATCTCTACCCCTATCAATATCCCTATGTCTACCCATACCATCACCGCCCCTGTATCACTACCCCTATCACTACCCCTACCACTACCATCACTGCCCCTGTATCTCTACCCCTATCTCTACCCCTATCACTACCCCTATTACTATCACTACCCCAACCACTACCATCACTGCCCCTGTATCTCTACCCCTATCACTACCCCTACCATCACTACCCCAACCCCTACCATCACTGCCCCTGTATCTCTACCCCTATCACTACCCCTATCACTACCCCAACCCCTACCATCACTGCCCCTGTATCTCTTCCCCCCAGCCCCACCCCAACTTGCCTTTGGTGACGGCACGCGACAGCAGGGAGTCTCGCAGTGCCTGTGCCGTGGCGCCGTCTGCGGAGAGGCTGAAGGTGTAGGAGGCGAGCGCCAGCAGGTACGGATTGCTGGACTCGAGCACGTAGGGACGGAGACAGCCCAGAGCCCGCTCCACGACGGGGCCCTGCCAAGGCGAAGGGGGAGGGGGGTAAAGGGGGTGGGGAGGGGGGGTTGGGGATGAAGGGGTTGGAGGGTGGTATGGGGTTAAAGGGGGGTAGGGGGAGATAAAGGGTGGGGGTGGTAGGGGGGTGGTGGGGGTAAAGGGGGGGTGGGCGGGGATAAAGGGGAGTGGGTGGCCCCAGCTGCCCCAGCTGCCCCAGCGGCCCCCACCACCACTACCACCGTGAAGCCTCTCACAGTGCCTGGGAGGTGTTGACTACCTCGCCTGGTCTACAGGAGTTCGTGGGTTCGATCCACGATCCTGATGCCTGCTGCTGTATATTTGGAGTTTGCGTCTCTCTCATCACCATCACGGTGGCTAGGAGATGTTAACTACCTCGTCTGGTATGCAGGAGGTCGTGGGTTCAATCCCTGAAACTTGATTCCTGCGTTATATTTGGAGTTTGCGTGTCTCTCTCTCTCCGTGGTTGCGTGAAATTTTATCTGGGTCCCCCGGTGTTTCCATCCACATTTAGAATCGACATGACACGTTCAGAGTACTTGGTTGCTCATAAATGTCCACGTGATAAGCCACTTCGTTGATCTATCATTTGTGATGGCCAGGTCGTTTCTGAGAATGAGGTCAGTTGGGGCCCCTTACCTGTTTAAAAAAAAAGTGGTTTTAATTCCCTCGCATGATTTCGGTGGCCTCCAGTTCCAGAGAAGAGTCCATCCAAGAAAAAAAACATTTCCCATAATGGAACCCGCAGAAGCGGATATCACAGAGCTGGCTCTGAGTTCCCTTTCTCTCATCCAAGTGATGTCTCTGCTCCACGCAGAACACAACCTTGCAGAAGCGGATATCACAGAGCTAGCTCCGAGTTGTCATCCCCTCATTCAAGTGACGTCTCTGTTCCGCGCAGAACGGAACCCGCAGAAGCGGATATCACAGAGCTTCTACTGAGACCTCTTCGTGTAGAGAGAGCGATGACGCTCGAGGCGTGCACGTGGTTTTCTCCTCCGTCGAGGAACTCACGGAGATGTTGGACTCGAGGAGAGCGGCGGTGACGTAGGCCGTGAGCGAGACATCGTCCGCCACTCCTCCCTGCCAAGACAAAGACACCCCGTGTTAACTTAACAGACTTTTTTGGCAGAGTGCTATGTGTAGTGTGTTAGGGGTAGGGACGGAGGGGTCGGGGAAGGGGTAGAGCGGAAAGGGTAGAGTGTTAGGGGTAAAGTGTTTGGGGTAAAGTATTGGGGGTAAAGTGTTAGGGGTAAAGTGTTAGGGGTCGAGTGTTAGGGGTAGAGAGTTAGTGTTAGGGGTAGAGTGTTCAGGGTAGAGTCGTAGGGGTAGAATGTTAGTGGTACGGGTAGAGTGGTCTTGGTACGGGTAGAGTGTTAGCAGTAGGGGTAGAGTGTTAGGGGTAGAGTGTTAGGGGTAGAGTGTCAGGGGTAGAGTGTCAGGGGTAGAGTGTCAGGGGTAGAGTGGTCGTGGTACGGGTAGAGTGTTCGTGGTATGGGTAGAGTGTTCGTGGTATGGGTAGAGTGTTCGTGGTACGGGTAGAGTGTTCGTGGTATGGGTAGAGTGTTCGTGGTACGGGTAGAGTGGTCGTGGTACGGGTAGAGTGTTCGTGGTATGGGTAGAGTGTTCGTGGTACGGGTAGAGTGGTCGTGGTATGGGTAGAGTGTTAGTGGTACGGGTAGAGTGTTAGTGGTATGGGTAGAGTGGTTGTGGTACGGGTAGAGTGTTCGTGGTATGAGTAGAGTGGTCATGGTACGGGTAGAGTGGTCGTGGTACAGGTAGAGTGTTAGTGGTATGGGTAGAGTGTTCGTGGTATGGGTAGAGTGGTTGTGGTACGGGTAGAGTGTTCGTGGTATGAGTAGAGTGGTCGTGGTACGGGTAGAGTGTTCGTGGTATGAGTAGAGTTGCCGTGGTACGGGTAGAGTGGTCGTGGTACGGGTAGAGTGTTAGTGGTACGGGTAGAGTGGTTGTGGTACGGTAGAGTGGTCGTGGTACGTGTAGAGTGTTAGTGGAAGGGGTAGAGTGGTAGGGGTAGTGTTAGGGGTAGATTGTTCGGGGTAGAGTGTTAGGGGTAGAGTGTTAGTGGTTGGGGTTGTGTTAGGGTTGGGGTAAAGTGTCAGGGGTAGAGTGTTAGTGGCAGGGGAAGAGTGGTAGTGGTAGAGTGTTGGCTCGGTAGGGGTGATGCAGTCGTAGGAGTCTCAAAGTCTCCCCTCCTACCCCTGTTCAACACGAGTTTCCTCCACGTTCTCCAGTTTATTCCCATAGATAACAACAACAAAACCCCCGTGCATAAAATGTAACTGGTATTGGCCAAAAACACCCCAATGCTAAAGATAAAAACACCTGCAACATTACTCAATTGGGACTACAAATAGGAAAATCCCCCCCCCACCCAGGCCACACAACTTCAAAAAGTGTGCAGGAAACAATCAGCTGCCAGGAAGACAATCCACCTGCAACATGGCCAACGCAACATCACCCATGCAACATGGCCGCCGCGAAGTCACCCATGCAACATGGCCGCAGCGACGTCACCCATGCAACATTGCCGCCGCGACGTCACCCATGCAACATGGCCGCCGCGACGTCACCCATGCAACATGGCCGCCGCGACGTCACCCATGCAACATGGTCGCCGCGACGTCACCTATGATAGCCACCGTGAAGTCACTCATGCAAGATGGCCACCATGACGTCACTTATGCAAGATGGCCACCGTGACGTCAGGCATGCAAGATGGCCACCGTAAAGTCACTCGTGCAAGATGGTCACCGCAAAGTCACTCATGCAAGATGGTGACCGTGAAGTCACTCATGCAAGATGGTCACCGCGAAGTCACCCATGCAAGATGGCCACCGTAAAGTCACTCATGCTAATCTCCCATCTTACATTAACATGCAAATTTCTCAAATAACATCACTAGCCCCGCCCACTTCGTTTATGACCCTTGAGCCTGGCCCATTTTAAACATTTTAAACAGTCTGCCTCAGCAGCTTTCCCCCTCCTTTAACCTCCTGATGACAATCGCTTGTGTCGTGATCGAAACGTCGTTGTTTTTGTTTATGTTATTTTTTTTTATTAATTTTAACCTATCTACGTGACTTTACCCAAAGGACCCAAATAATTTGTACTACTTCTAACGTTTGTGTATTGTGCTCGTCGTTGTGAAGTTCTGACCCCGTGGCCCCCGGGAACCTGGACATGCTCCACAGCTCCAGTGGGAACGAGCATTCTGACTCTGGTGTCAAAAGCGGCACCTTCATGGCGTTGTTGAAGAGCCGTCCGACGCTGATGAAGCAGCCGGTGGAGGCGTTCTGGTGCTCTCTGAGCCAGGAGAACGGCCCGGTGATGTGGTCCTCGGAGACGGCGATGTGCTTGGAGGCTCTCACGAAGGACTTGAGCACAAACGCCGTGAGCCTGGGGGCACAAATGGCGAAGGTGGTGAGCAAAATAATGTCGCTAGGAGTAAGTAGAATAACGACACTAGGGGTGAGTAGAATAACAACACTAGGGGTGAGTAGAGTGACAACGCTAGGGGTGAGTAGAATAACAACACTAGGGCTGAGTAGAACAACAACACTAGGGGGTGAGTAGAATAAGAACACTAGGGGTGAGTAGAATCACGCCACTAGGGGTGAGTAGAATAACAACACTAGGGGTGAGTAGAACAACAACACTAGGGGTGAGTAGAATAACAACACTAGGGGTGAGTAGAATAACAACACTAGGGGTGAGTAGAATAACAACACTAGGGGTGAGTAGAATAACAACACTAGGGGTGAGTAGAATAACAACACTAGGGTGAGTGGAATAACAACACTAGGGGTGAGTGGAATAACAACACTAGGGTGAGTAGAATAACAACACTAGGGGTGAGTAGAATAACAACACTAGGGGTGAGTAGAATAACAACACTAGGGGTGAGTAGAATAACAACACTAGGGGTGAGTAGAATGACGACACTAGGGGTGAGTAGAATAACAACACTAGGGGTGAGTAGAATGACGACACTAGGGGTGAGTAGAATAACAACACTAGGGGTGAGTAGAATAACAACACTAGGGGTGAGTAGAATAACAACACTAGGGGTGAGTAGAATAACAACACTAGGGGTGAGTAGAATAACAACACTAGGGGTGAGTAGAGTGACACTAGGGGTGAGTAGAGTGACACTAGGGGTGAGTAGAATAACAACACTAGGGGTGAGTAGAATAACAACACTAGGGGTGAGTAGAATAACAATGCTAGGGGTGAGTAGAATAACAACACTAGGGGTGAGTAGAATAACAACACTAGGGGTGAGTAGAGTGACAACACTAGGGGTGAGTAAAATAACAACACTAGGGGTGAGTAGAGTGACACTAGGGGTGAGTAGAGTGACACTAGGGGTGAGTAGAATAACAACACTAGGGGTGAGTAGAATGACAACACAAGGGGTGAGTAGAATAACAACACTAGGGGTGAGTAGAGTGACAACACTAGGGGTGAGTAAAATAACAACACTAGGGGTGAGTAGAATAACAACACTAGGGGTGAGTAGAATAACAACACTAGGGGTGAGTAGAATAACAACACTAGGGTGAGTGGAATAACAACACTAGGGGTGAGTAGAATAACAACACTAGGGGTGAGTAGAGTGACACTAGGGGTGAGTAGAATAACAACACTAGGGGTGAGTAGAATGACAACACAAGGGGTGAGTAGAATAACAACACTAGGGGTGAGTAGAGTGACACCACTAGGGGTGAGTAAAATAACAACACTAGGGGTGAGTAGAATAACAACACTAGGGGTGAGTAGAATAACAACACTAGGGGTGAGTAGAATAACAACACTAGGGGTGAGTAGAATAACAACACTAGGGGTGAGTAGAATAACAACACTAGGGGTGAGTAGAACAACAACACTAGGGGTGAGTAGAATAACAACACTAGGGGTGAGTAGAATAACAACACTAGGGGTGAGTAGAATAACAACACTAGGGGTGAGTAGAATAATAACACTAGGGGTGAGTAGAGTGACAACACTAGGGGTGAGTAGAATAACAACACTAGGGGTGAGTAGAATAACAACACTAGGGGTGAGTAGAATAACAACACTAGGGGTGAGTAGAATAACAACTCTAGGGGTGAGTAGAATAACAACACTAGGGGTGAGTAGAATAACAACACTAGGGGTGAGTAGAATAACAACACTAGGGGGTGAGTAGAATAACAACACTAGGGGTGAGTAGAATAACAACACTAGGGGTGAGTAGAATAACAACACTAGGGGTGAGTAGAATAACAACACTAGGAGTGAGTAGAATAACAACACTAGGGGTGAGTAGAATAACAACACTAGGGGTGAGTAGAATAACAACACTAGGGGTGAGTAGAATAACAACACTAGGGGTGAGTAGAATAACAACACTAGGGGTGAGTAGAACAACAACACTAGGGGTGAGTAGAATAACAACACTAGGGGTGAGTAGAATAACAACACTAGGGGTGAGTAGAATAACAACACTAGGGGTGAGTAGAATAACAACACTAGGGGTGAGTAGAATAACAACACTAGGGGTGAGTAGAATAACGACACTAGGGGTGAGTAGAATCACGACACTAGGGGTGAGTAGAATAACAACACTAGGGGTGAGTAGAATAACAACACTAGGGGTGAGTAGAATAACAACACTAGGGGTGAGTACAATAACAACACTAGGGGTGAGTAGAATAACAACACTAAGGGTGAGTAGAATAACAACACTAGGGGTGAGTAGAATAACAACACTAGGGGTGAGTAGAATAACAACACTAGGGGTGAGTAGAATAACAACACTAGGGGTGAGTAGAATAACAACACTAGGGGTGAGTAGAATAACAACACTAGGGGTGAGTAGAATAACAACACTAGGGGTGAGTAGAATAACACCACTAGGGGTGAGTAGAATAACAACACTAGGGGTGAGTAGAACAACAACACTAGGGGTGAGTAGAATAACAACACTAGGGGTGAGTAGAATAACAACACTAGGGGTGAGTAGAATAACAACACTAGGGGTGAGTAGAATAACAACACTAGGGGTGAGTAGAATAACAACACTAGGGGTGAGTAGAATAACAACACTAGGGGTGAGTAGAATAACAACACTAGGGGTGAGTAGAATAACAACACTAGGGGTGAGTAGAATAACAACACTAGGGGTGAGTAGAGTGACACTAGGGGTGAGTAGAATAACAACACTAGGGGTGAGTAGAATAACAACACTAGGGGTGAGTAGAATAACAACACTAGGGGTGAGTAGAATAACAACACTAGGGGTGAGTAGAATAACAACACTAGGGGTGAGTAGAATCACGACACTAGGGGTGAGTAGAATAACAACACTAGGGGTGAGTAGAATAACAACACTAGGGGTGAGTAGAATAACAACACTAGGGGTGAGTAGAATAACAACACTAGGGGTGAGTAGAATAACAACACTAGGGGTGAGTAGAATAACAACACTAGGGGTGAGTAGAATAACAACACTAGGGGTGAGTAGAATAACAACACTAGGGGTGAGTGGAATAACAACACTAGGGGTGAGTAGAGTGACACTAGGGGTGAGTAGAATAACAACACTAGGGGTGAGTAGAATAACAACACTAGGGGTGAGTAGAATAACAACAGTAGGGGTGAGTAGAATAACAACACTAGGGGTGAGTAGAGTGACAACACTAGGGGTGAGTAGAATAACAACACTAGGGGTGAGTAGAATAACAACACTAGGGGTGAGTAGAATAACAACACTAGGGGAGAGTAGAATAACAACACTAGGGGTGAGTAGAGTAACAACACTAGGGGTGAGTAGAATAACAACACTAGGGGTGAGTAGAATAACAACACTAGGGGTGAGTAGAATAACAACTCTAGGGGTGAGTAGAATAACAACACTAGGGGTGAGTAGAATAACAACACTAGGGGTGAGTAGAATAACAACACTAGGGGTGAGTAGAATAACAACACTAGGGGTGAGTAGAATAACAACACTAGGGGTGAGTAGAATAACAACACTAGGGGTGAGTAGAATAACAACACTAGGGGTGAGTAGAATAACAACACTAGGGGTGAGTAGAATAACAACACTAGGGGTGAGTAGAATAACAACACTAGGGGTGAGTAGAATAACAACACTAGGGGTGAGTAGAATAACAACACTAGGGGTGAGTAGAATAACAACACTAGGGGTGAGTAGAATAACAACACTAGGGATGAGTAGAATAACAACACTAGGGGTGAGTAGAATAACAACACTAGGGATGAGTAGAATAACAACACTAGGGGTGAGTAGAATAACAACACTAGGGGTGAGTAGAATAACAACACTAGGGGTGAGTAGAATAACAACACTAGGGGTGAGTAGAATAACAACACTAGGGGTGAGTAGAATAACAACACTAGGGGTGAGTAGAATAACAACACTAGGGTTGAGTAGAACAACAACACTAGGGGTGAGTAGAATAATGACACTAGGGGTGAGTAGAATAACAACACTAGGGGTGAGTAGAATAACAACACTAGGGGTGAGTAGAATAATGACACAAGGGGTGAGTAGAATAACAACACTAGGGGTGAGTAGAATAACAACTCTAGGGGTGAGTAGAATAACAACACTAGGGGTGAGTAGAATAACACCACTAGGGGTGAGTAGAACAACAACACTAGGGGTGAGTAGAATAACAACACTAGGGGTGAGTAGAATAACAACACTAGGGGTGAGTAGAATAATAACACTAGGGGTGAGTAGAGTGACAACACTAGGGGTGAGTAGAATAACAACACTAGGGGTGAGTAGAATAACAACACTAGGGGTGAGTAGAATAACAACACTAGGGGTGAGTAGAATAACAACACTAGGGGTGAGTAGAATAACAACACTAGGGGTGAGTAGAATAACAACACTAGGGGTGAGTAGAGTGACACTAGGGGTGAGTAGAATAACAACACTAGGGGTGAGTAGAATAACAACACTAGGGGTGAGTACAATTACCACATCTGACCCCCAATAACGCGTGAATCGATTAGAGATGACGTGTCGATGTCTCGTTGGCGACCGATGACACCGTACCACGTGTTTCCCTCAGGGTCGTTCGTTCCGAACGCGCTGTAGGAATGGTCGCCACGTTTGTAGGTCAGCTGCCGTTGGTACCCTGCGAAGTTCAACAGCGCAGAGGTAACAATATTCGCAACAATCTTGAGTTTGAGTTTTCGTGACGGCACGGAATCCGTACCCAGTTGGTTCTTTCGGTAGAGTCACCGAGTAGGTAGAAAAATAAATAATAAATCACGACCTTCTGCGACAAGAGGTTACATAAAGGTTTGAGGTGGGTGTCACCCAAGGGTAAGGAGGCATGTTAATGCACACGGGAATAATAATGGAAAATAGTAGCGACATACTCAGCAGCGAAACGTATCCATTGATTAGGAAAGTAAAACACTTTTAAATTAATTATCCGATTTTGTGTTTTGCAGGTGAAAGACCGGTCTCTGATGGGATCTCTAGACACTGATAGACAGACTGGTCTCTGATGGGATCTCTAGACAGTGATAGAAAGATTGGTCTCTGATGGGCTCTCTAGACAGTGATAGACAGACTGGTCACTGATGGGTCTCTAGACAGTGATAGACAGAATGGTCTCTGATGGGTCTCTAGATACTGATAGACAGACTGGTCTCTGATGGGATCTCTAGATACTGATAGACAGACTGGTCTCTGATGGGTCTCTATACAGTGATAGACAGACTGGTCTCTGATGGGTCTCTAGATAGTGATAGACATACTGGTCTCTGATGGGCTCTCTAGACAGTGATAGACAGACTGGTATCTGATGGGTCTCTATACAGTGATAGACAGACTGGTCTCTGATGGGTCTCTAGACAGTGATAGACAGACTGGTCTCTGATGGGTCTCTAGACAGTGATAGACAGACTGGTCTCTGATGGGTCTCTAGACAGTGATAGACATACTGCTCTCTGATGGGTCTCTAGACAGACAGACAGACTGGTCTCTGATGGGTCTCTAGACAGACAGAGTGGTCTCTGATGGGTCTCTAGACACTGACAGACAGACTTGACTCTGATGCGTCTCTAAACAGACTGGTCTCTGATGGGTCTCTCGACAGAGAGACTGGTCTCGGATGGGTCTCTAGACAGTGATAGACAGACTGGTCTCTGATGGGCTCTCTAGACACTGACAGACAGACTGGTCTCTGATGGGATCTCTAGACAGTGACAGACAGACTGGTCTCTGATGTGTCCTCTGACACTGACAGACAGACTGGTCTCTGATGGGTCTCTCGACAGACAGACTGGTCTCTGATGGGTCTCTAGACACTGACAGACAGACTGGTCTCTGATGTGTCCTGTGACACTGACAGACAGACTGGTCTCTGATGGGTCTCTCGACAGACAGACTGGTCTCTGATGGGTCTCTAGACACTGACAGACAGACTGGTCTCTGATGGGTCTCTAGACACTGACAGACAGACAGACTGGTCTCTGATGGGTCTCTAGACACTGACAGACAGACTGGTCTCTGATGGGTGTCTCTAGACACTGACAGACAGACTGGTCTCTGATGGGTCTCTCGACAGACAGACTGGTCTATGATGGGTCTCTAGACACTGACAGACAGACTGGTCTCTGATGGGATCTCTAGACACTGATAGACAGACTGGTCTATGATGGGTCTCCAGACACTGACAGACAAACTTGTCTCTGATGGGTCTCTAGACACTGACAGACAGACTGGTCTCTGATGGGTCTCCATACACTGACAGACAGACTGGTCTCTGATGGGATCTCCAGACACTGACAGACTGGTCTCTGATGGGATCTCTAGACACTGACAGACAGACACAACCGATCCGACACCTACCAACTCGCAGGAAGTTGAGCGCTTTGTCTCGGACCGCGTCCGTCAGCTGCCCGGAGTTCTGCAGGTACTCCTGGATGTAAATGTTGGGCGCGAACTTGACCATGTTCTGCTCGCCGCATCCCGTCGGTAGGGTGAGGAGCTTGTCCAGGTTCTGGAGAGCCGAGCCCATGATGTCCCCTGGAGGGCCGACGGGGAAGGCGCCAGTCAAGAGGGACGGAGCCGTCGCTCACCCCGGAGGGCAAAGGCACGGCCCTGCAATCCTTGCTACGTGTGTTGGACTTGGTTCGCATCATACCAAACCAAGTGTGTGTGTGTGTGTGTTGGAGTTGGTTCGCATCATACCAAGACAACCGTGCTGTGTGTGTGTTGAACTTCTTTCACACCGTACATAGCCAACCGTGCTATGTGTGTGTGTGTTGAACTTTCTTCACACCGTACGTAGCCAACCGTGCTATGTGTGTGTGTTGAACTTTCTTCACACCGTACTTAGCCAACCGTGCTATGTGTGTGTGTGTTGAACTTCTTTCACACCGTACTTAGCCAACCGTGCTGTGTGTGTGTTAAACTCCTTTCACACCGTACGTAGCAAACCGTGCTGTGTGTTGAACTTTCTTCACACCGTACGTAGCCAACCGTGCTATTAAAAACGTAAAACGTCCGAAGCTTTTATTTACCAGCCAAGGCCCGGCTGAGCTGCCACGTGGCTGCTTTTTCATTAGCGACGTGGCGATCACAAATGGTAGCCCAATGAAGAGGGGGGCGGGGGGGGGCTATCAGTCGTTGTCACGTCAACATTTAAAGCAGCAGCAGCCAAGCATAGTCACAGGGTGTGCTGCTGATACTAAATGTGGATGGAAAAAGAAAACCGGGGGACCCGAAGAAAGATCCACGCGACCACGTGGGGGAGAGAGGGGAACGCAAACTCCAAATATACAGCAGCAGGCGGCAGGTTCGGGATCGAACCCGCGACCTCCTGCACACAAGGTGAGAGAGTTAACATCTCCTTGCCATAGTGAGTGAGTGGGTGAGTGAGTGAGTGGGTGAGTGTGTGAGTGAGTGGGTGGGTGAGTGAGTGAGTGAGTGGGTGAGTGAGTGAGTGAGCGCGTGAGTGAGTGAGTGAGTGGGTGAGTGAGTGAGTGAGTGGGTGAGTGAGTGAGTGAGTCGGTGAGTGGGTGAGTGAGTGGGTTAGTGGGTTAGTGTGTGAGTTAGTGAGTGGGTGAGTTAGTGAGTGAGTGAGTGGGTTAGTGAGTGAGTGGGTGAGTGGATGAGTGTGTGAGTGAGTGAGTGAGTGGGTGAGTGAGTGGGTGAGTGGGTGAGTGAGTGAGTGGGTGAGTGAGTGAGTTAGTGAGTGGGTGAGTGGGTGAGTGAGTGAGTGGGTTAGTGTGTGAGTTAGTGAGTGGGTGAGTGGGTGAGTGAGTGAGTGGGTGAGTGGATGAGTGTGTGAGTGAGTGAGTGAGTGGGTGAGTGGGTGAGTGAGTGAGTGGGTTAGTGTGTGAGTTAGTGAGTGGGTGAGTGTGTGAGTTAGTGAGTGGGTGAGTGGGCCCTGCTCTGGCCTATTTGATAATAACGGCCCCTGACTTCTGCCAGGGCCCGGAGTGTTTTAATCGCTGATGGCAGCGCCAGGCTGGGGCCGAGAGGGAGACTCACCGGCGATGGTGGCGTACGCCCGGGCAGAGCCCAGGATCACGTTGGCCGGCAGGGACAGGTTGAAGACGAAGCGCTCGGACGCTGGCGCTGGGAAGGAGACGACGAGGCAGAGAGAAATCGAAACAGAAGTGGTGGTGGTGGTGGTGACGATGGTGGTGGTGACGATGGTGGTGGTGGTGGTGACGATGGTGGCGGTGGTGGTGGTGACGATGGTGGTGGTGGTGGTGGTGGCAGTAGTGGTGACAGTGGTGGCAGTGGTGGTGACGGTGGTGGCAAAGGCGGTGGTGGTGGTGGTGGTGACGATGGTGGTGGTGGTGACAGTGGTGGTGGTGGTGACGGTGGTGGTGGTGAAGGCGGTGGTGGTGGTGGTGACGGTGGTGGTGGTGGTGACAGTGGTGGTGGTGGTGGTGACGGTGGTGGTGGTGGTGACAGTGGTGGTGGGGGGAGCTCCCTGAGTGGGACTGTGTGAGTGGCCCCAGGGAGGAGCTCCATGAGTGAGACCGTGTGAGTGGCCCCAGGGAGGAGCTCCATGAGTGGGGCTGTGTGAGTGGCCCCAGGGAGTAGCTCCATGAGTGGGACTGTGTGAGTGGCCCCAGGGAGGAGCTCCATGAGTGGAACTGTGTGAGTGGCCGCAGGGAGGAGCTCCATGAGTGGGACTGTGTGAGTAGTCCCACAGGAGACTCACATTTGGGGCACAGCAGGGAGCTATATGCAAGCTCCTTTGGAATCCCCTCCGGCTGAAACAACAACAACCACAACAACAACCGTGTCAACAACCACTTCAACAACATCAACAACAACAACATCAACAATATCAACAACCACATCAACAACCACATCGATATCGAAAACAATGCTCCTGCTGATGTCGCTGATGATGATGGTGGTGGTGGTGGTGGTAGTGATGGTGACGATGGTGATGATGATGGTGATGATGATGATGACGATGGTGATGAGGATGATGATAATGATGGTGATGATGACGATGGTGGTGACTATGACGATAGTGACGATGGTGACGATGGTGACGACAATGTTAATGACGATGGTGATGACGATGGTGATGATGGCGATGAGGATGGTGATGATGATGGCGATGACGATGACGATGGTGATGACGATGGTGATGATGATGACGATGGTGATGACGATGATGATGATGATGACGATGGTGATGGCGATGACGATGGTGATGATGATGGTGACGACAATGGTGATGACGATGGTGATGATGATGGCGATGACGATGGTGATGACGATGGTGATGATGATGGCGATGACGATGATGATGGTGATGACGATGGTGATGACGATGACGATGGTGATGACGATGATGATGACGATGATGATGATGATGACGATGGTGATGGCGATGACGATGGTGGTGACTATGACGATGACGATGGTGATGACAATGGTGATGACAATGGTGATGACGATGGTGACTATGACGATGACGATGGTGACGACAATGGTAATGACGATGATGATGACGATGATGATGATGACGATGGTGATGATGATGACGATGGTGACGATGGTGACGACAATGGTAATGACGATGATGATGATGACGATGATGATGATGATGATGACGATGGTGACGACAATGGTAATGACGATGGTGATGATGATGGCGATGAGGATGGTGATGATGATGGCGATGACGATGGTGATGATGATGGTGATGACGATGACGATGGTGATGACGATGATGATGACGATGATGATGATGACGATGGTGATGGCGATGACGATGGTGATGATGATGGCGATGACGATGGTGACGACAATGGTAATGACGATGATGATGACGATGATGATGACGATGGTGATGGCGATGACGATGGTGGTGACTATGACGATGGTGATGACGATGATGATGACGATGGTGATGACGATGATGATGACGATGGTGATGACGATGGTGATGACGATGGTGATGATGATGGCGATGACGATGACGATGGTGATGACGATGATGATGACGATGGTGATGACGATGGTGACGACAATGGTAATGACAATGGTGATGACGATGGTGATGATGATGGCGATGACGATGGTGATGACGATGGTGATGACGATGACGATGGTGATGACGATGATGATGACGATGATGATGACGATGGTGATGACGATGGTGATGGTGGTGACTATGACGATGGTGATGACAATGGTAATGATGATGATGACGATGGTGATGGCGATGACGATGGTGATGATGATGACGATGACGATGATGATGACGATGGTGATGACGATGACGATGGTGGTGACTATGACGATGACGATGGTGATGACAATGGTAATGACTATGATGATGACGATGGTGATGACGATGGTGATGACGATGGCGATGACGATGGTGACGATGGTGACGACGGCGACATCACCTCGACGATGACACTCCGCACCACCGTGTCCACGGCCCCCTCTTCCGGCACCACCACCACCTCGTTCCCGCAGGGCTCCTCACTGCGCACCGCCGCCGCCCTCACGCTCACGTTCACCGTGCCTGGCACCGCGCCCCCAGTGGGACGAGAGACAGGCGAGGGGGGAAGAGGGAGGGAGGGAGGGAGCTCAACTCAGTGCCACTGCCTCCATCGATACCCAGGCACGGGGTAGTGGTAGAGGTAGCGATAGTGGTAAAGGTAGGGGTAGTGGTAGGGGTAGTGGTAGAGGTAGGGGTAGGGGTAGTGGTAGGGGTATGAGTAGTGGTAGGGGTATGAGTAGTGGTAGTGGTAGAGGTAGTGGTAGGGGTATGAGTAGTGGTAGGGGTATGAGTAGTGGTAGTGGTAGAGGTAGGGGTAGTGGTATGAGTAGTGGTAGGGGTATGAGTAGTGGTAGAGGAATGAGTAGTGGTAGTGGTAGAGGTAGTGATAGTGGTAGGGGTATGAGTAGTGGTAGTGGTAGGGGTAGAGGTAGTGATAGTGGTAGGGGTAGTGGTGGGGTATGAGTAGTGGTAAAGGTAGGGGTAGTGGTAGGGGTAGTGGTAGGGGTAGTGATAGTGGTAGGGGTAGTGGTATGAGTAGTGGTAGTGGTAGTGGTATGAGTAGTGGTAGTGGTAGGGGTAGAGGTAGTGATAGTGGTAGGAGTAGTGGTAGTGGTAGTGGTATGAGTAGTGGTAGTGGTAGGGGTAGAGGTATTGATAGTGGTAGTGATAGTGGTAGGGGTATGAGTAGTGGTAGGGGTAGAGGTAGTGATAGTGATAGGGGTATGAGTAGTGGTAGTGTTAGTGGTAGGGGTATGAGTAGTGGTAGGGGTAGAGGTAGTGATAGTGGTAGGGGTATGAGTAGTGGTAGGGGTAGAGGTATGAGTAGTGGTAGTGGTAGGGGTAGAGGTAGTGATAGTGGTAGGAGTAGTGGTAGTGGTATGAGTAGTGGTAGTGGTAGGGGTAGAGGTATTGATAGTGGTAGTGATAGTGGTAGGGGTATGAGTAGTGGTAGGGATAGAGGTAGTGATAGTGGTAGGGGTATGAGTAGTGGTAGTAATAATGGTCGTGATAGTGGTAGGGGTATGAGTAGTGATAATGGTAGGGGTAGTGATAGTGGTAGGGGTATGAGTAGTGGTAGGGGTAGAGGTAGTGATAGTGGTAGGGGTAGGAGTAGTGGTAGTGGTAGGGGTAGAGGTAGTGATAGTGGTAGGGGTATGGGTAGTGGTAGTGATAGTGGTAGGGGTATGAGTATGGTAGTGGTAGGGGTAGTGGTAGTGGTAGGGGTAGTGGTAGGGGAAGTGGTAGACGTAGGAGTAGTGGTAGTGGTAGGAGTAGTGCTAGGAGTAGTGATAGTGGTAGGAGTAGTGGTAGGGGTAGTGGTAGAGGTAGAAGTAGTGGTAGGGGTAGTGGTAGGAGTAGTGGTAGTGGCAGTGGTAGAGGTAGTGATAGTGGTAGGGGTAGTGGTAGGGGTAGTGGTAGAGGTAGTAGTAGAGGTAGTGATAGTGGTAGGGGTAGAGGTAGTGATAGTGGTAGTGATAGTGGTAGAGGTAGAGGTATGAGTAGTGGTAGTGATAGTGGTAATGGTAGAGGTAGGGGTAGTGGGTGCGAGTTGTGGGCTCACCCAGGGAGAGCGGCTCGATGAGGAAGCTGAAGAGGCCCTTCCTGTCAGGGCACACACAACTCGCGGCACCACGGGGGCCTCCCGCGGCCACCGCAAAGTGCTCCGAGTCCAGCAGCGTCACCTCGATCTGTAGCAGCAACAACAACAACATCAACAACAACATCAACAACAACAACATCAACATCAACAACAACAACATCAACAACAACAACATCAACAACAACATCAACAACAACAACATCAACATCAACAACAACATCAACAACAACATCAACAACATCAACAACAACAACATCAACAACAACATCAACAACAACATCAACAACATCAACATCAACAACAACATCAACAACAACATCAACAACAACATCAACAACAACAACATCAACAACAACATCAACAACAACATCAACATCAACAACAACATCAACAACATCAACAACAACATCAACAACAACAACAACATCAACAACAACATCAACAACATCAACAACAACAACATCATCAACAACAACATCAACAACAACATCAACAACAACATCAACAACATCAACATCAACAACATCAACAACAACATCAACAACAACAACATGAACAACAACATCAACAACAACATCAACAACAACATCAACAACAACAACAACATCAACAACAACAACATCAACAACAACATCAACAACAACAACAACATCAACAACAACATCACCGCCACTGCCAGCATCACCACCATCACCAATTTCACCGCCACCATCACCACCTCCACCAACACCTCAACCTCCACCATCACCACCTCCATCACCAACAACAACAACAATCGCCATTCGCCACTAAGTGGCAGTGATGTCACCACGACGCTTGTGCCAGGCTATGTGCACCTTAAGGCCACGTGAAGTGTCAAACGCCCGCTGGCAGGAGGTCATGGAGCAGACCCAGATGCCACGGGTCGACTGACTGAGACGACTGGTTAATGCACCACCTGTGCCCCCTACTGTGCCAACCTGCTGTGCTATAGCCACCCGGCGCTCCGCTCATTGTTGTGAGCATCGCTCCTCCGCCCTCCGGTGTTGTTGGAGTGCAACTGCCTCCAACTTCCCAGTAGCGTCCTTCACGAGTCTCCTACACAGAAGCCGATATTGACACCGCTGGCACCAGTCATCGGAAAGTCCACTCAGCTCCACGTCCTCCTGCACCACATCACTCCATCTCTTCTCTAGCCCATGCTCCGCCCGTTTTGCCCCCTCGATCTGGCCGAACAAAAGCTGTTTAGGCAAGCGGTGGCAGGGCATGCGGGCTACATGACCCAGCCAACGCAGCCTTGCCTGCCGGAGGAGCTCACTGATGGGACTTTGTCCAGATCTTTCAAGGATTTGTGAGCACCTCACACAATCCAGCCTGGTTAAACCCAGGATGGATCGTAGGCAGGCCAGCCTAAATATTTCTAACCGGCGAAGGTGTTCCATTAGGGGGGTCCACATTTCGCAAGCGTAGAGAAGGGAAGGAATGACTATGGCCGAGAAGACCTGAAGTTTTGTGTGGAGCGAGAGACCAGGTAGCTTCCACACAGCGTTATCAAACCAAATAAAAGATAATGTCGCTCAACTAATTCGGAGTGAGACCTCTGCTGTTAAAACAGAGCCAGTCATGAGCACACTGCCCAGGTATGGGAAACTCTCAAATCTCTCCACAACTGCCCCATCACCAATTGTGAGTTATGGGGGTGGAGTGTCCGATGGTACAAAATACCCAGGCATGTGCTTCGTTTTGGTGGGGCTGATGGTAAGGTCCCACCTCTTAGTGGTAAGCTCCAGGTTCAGCAGCAGCGCCTCCAACTCCTCCTCTGAGTGAGCAGCAATTACCAGATCATCAGCATACATAACGTGGTTGAGCAATAGGGAGCCACCCCTTGACCGCACCCGGGAATCGACCAGCCTCCCATTGTATCTGTACCAGATGGAAATTCCTCCGGTACAGCTATTGAAGGCTTCACGAACTACGTGGTCAAAATAGATGTTAAATAATGTGGGAGCCAGAGGACATCGCTGTCTCACCCCAAGGTGTACAGGGAATGGCTCCGACTCCCGGCCACATAGTTTTACCCGGGCCCGCTCACCATCATGAAGGTCCTTAATGATCGTGAGCAGAGGATCAGGGACTCTGAAAGCACGAAGAACAAACCAGATCACAGGCCTACTTATGGTATCTTAGGCCTCGACCAGGTCAATAAAGCAGAGATGTAGGTCTTGTTGGAATTCCATACACCTCTGCTGTAGCAGATGGATAGAAAATATGGAATCTGTGCAGGAGCACCCAGGGTGATTTCAACAAACTACAACATCAGCTAGTTTCTCTTAAACTAGTCTTGAATACCTCCAAAACCAAGGTGCTATGCTTCTCACCGGGACTAAAGCAGGAAGTTATTTTTCCCCAATTACATTCCTTGAATAATTATCAAATAGAGCAGGTTAAGATCTATAAGTATCTTGGGGTCATCCTGGATTCAAAACTTAACTTTGAAGATCACATTGATTATATTGGTAAAAAGACAAAAATATAAATTGGTTTTCTGTATCGACACAAGCATTGCTTCCCCCCATTGTTCCGTTTGGAATTGATAAAAGCTACCATACTGCCTCTACTTGACTACTGTGACATCTTGTATAAATCAGCCCCAAGTACTGTACTGAAAAAGCTTGATTCCATCTATCACTCGGCCTTAAGATTTGCATTGAACTGCCCATATAGGACTCACCACTGTGATCTCTACATTGGGTCAAACTTAACATCTCTTAATGTTCGACGGCTTGTGCACCAGATCTTATTTATTCACGATGTACTTACAAAAAAATCCGCAGACTAACTACTGGATCTCCTCTCTGTTTCAAAGAACAAATTTGACCTCAGGTCTTCACTCATGTACCAGCTTCACATTCCCTATTGCCGTACAAAAACTGGAGGAAGGGCCTTTGCTATTGATGCCCCCAGGGTCTGGAATGCTATTGCCAATAAACTGCAACTTGAATCACTACCTATGAGATCTTCACTCAAAACTGCTCGAGAGGAGTTGTACACCCCTAGCTGCCACTGCTATTCAGTGGCCTAAAATATGGCTCTAGATTTTGGAGTTATAATTTATTTATGTAGTTTGTTGTTAAAAATTTGGTCACAGTCCCTATGATCACTGTTACATTGCATGTATGGCTTTTATTTTGGTGATTTCGAAAACGTTTTTGTTTTGTTTTGGCCATGTTTTTGTTTATTGTATACGGAGTTAGACTGATGTCCTTAATCTTAGTTGTCTTGTGGTTGTTGTTGTTATTTTGACTTGCATCCCACTGGGATTTTTTGCACACAGCGTTGGTGTACGGTGCTATTTCAGGAATATTTTTTATGTTGTTTTCCTGGATTTTCTGTTTGCACAGTCACACATAATCACTTTAAGATGTTTTCTTGTTCATGTTTTTTTTGTTTGTTGCGGTTGCACACGATTCAAGAGCCGAATGGCTCACAGGGCTATACCAAATAAATGAACTATGAAATGAACTATGAACTTTCCTGAAACCGCATTGGGGCTCCGCAAGCCTCTCCTCAGCGTGCCTGGCAAGGCGATGTTGAATAATCCTTGCCAGGACCTTTCCCGGCACACTGAGGAGTGAGATGCTCCTGTAGTTGTTACAGTCTGTGCGGTCCCCCTTCTTAAAGAGGGGGACCACCAGGGCATCCTTCAATCCTGCGGAACCCGTCCAGTGGCCCAGACTGTTATGATGTCATGTAGGGCAGTCTGTGCACAAACGCCACCCTCCCTCAACATTTCGCTTGGGAGATCATCTCTGCCCGGTGCCTTTCCTGGTCTCAGACTTTGGATCGCCATCAGTACTTCCTCCACAGATGGCACCTCAGCCAGCCACTCACAGGGGGATGACTTCTTCTTCCAATATTTGAGGCACCGCAGCCTCGGCAGGGTCATCCCCACTTTGTCCCACGTTGTTTTCCTGGGTGATGGATGTCCCCTCCCCCAGGACCTCACAGAAATGCTCAGCAAATCTGCAAACCTGTTCCTGGGGGTCGGAGATTCGATCACCATTCATTCCCCTAATGATGGTAATAGATGTGGCAGCACAGGTTACTTTTTTGATAGAGTTTAAGAGCGATTTGTGATCGTGGGCTTACTGAGGCAGACTCCATCTCCTCAGCAACCCGTGACCAACACCCATCCTTGCAGCACCTCACGGCTCCCCTAACCTCCGAGCGAAGGCTGCGGAAAGCCTCCTCATTCTCTGACGTGGGATTCTGTAGCCGATGACAGTGGGCCTGTCGCTTTTTCTCAACTATCCTGAACACCTCCTCTGTCAGCCAGGGTCTCTGGGGCGGTCTGGACCGCGTACCCAAAGAAAGCAGCCATTGCAGCTGCATGAGCCACAGTCCTAAACCTCGCCCATTTACCCTCGACATCAGGAGGAGTGGGGGACGATGCCAACCCCAGCCGCATGCGATGATGAAATTCTCGCTTGCAACTTTCATCAGCTAGCCGAGACCAGGCCCACTGTGGGTTTGAATGGGGGTCCTAGATGGACACCCACCACCGGAGTGGAACATCACCACCACCACCACCAGCACCACCACCACCACCAGCAGCAGCAGCAGCAGCAGCAGGAGAGGCGCCGGTCACCTTGAGGCAGCTGTGCAGGTAGTTGTGGACGCTGACGGCGAGCGGGAAGGTCTCGCCACGCACCACGGAGTAGGGTAGCACGGGTTCGACAAAGAACGGGGTGAAGACTCGGAGCGAGGAGACCTCGGAGAGGCCGAAACCCGCCGGCGACGAGCAGAACGCCGAGGCCTTCCACTCGGTGATGGAGTCTGGCACCTTCACCGCCACCTGCTCCAAGCCAGGCTCACTTGGGGAGGGCGGGGGGGGAGTGGCGGGGTAGAGGAGGGCGGCATCATTAGGGTGGCATTAGTACGAGGTGTTCGGAGACTCGGGGGAGGCTGGGCAGTTAACCATCAGCTGGGGGCAAAAACCCCTGGGCAGAGATTGGGTGGGTGAATGAGAGAGTGGGGGGTTGGCTGAGTGAGTGGGTGAGTGAGTGGGTGAGTGAGTTGGGTGAGTGAGTGGGTGAGTGAGTGGGTGCGTGAGTGGATGAGTGAGTAAGTGAGTGGGTAAGTGAGTGAGTTGGGTGAGTGAGTGAGTGGGTGAGTAGGTGAAAGAGTGAGTGAGTGGGTGAGTGAGTGAATGAGTGAGTAGGTGAGTGAGTTGGTGAGTTGGGTGAGTGAGTGAGTGGGTGAGTGAGTGGGCCTCCAGGATAATCAGGACCCCTGCCTTCTGCTGAAGACTTCCCTGTATTGGTTCTCACTACACCGAGCGTTTGTCAAAGTGGAGGCGGTGAAGGTTGGCGGGGCGAGCGAGTGGCGGAACTTGGTCTAGTGGTGGCGATGCTGGCGGTGGTGGTGATGGTGGTGGTGGTAGCGATGGTAGTGGTAGCGATGGTAGTGGTGGTGGTAGTGGTGGTGATGGTGGTGGTAGTGGTGGTAGTGGTGGTGGTAGTAGTGGTGATGGTGGTGCTAGCGATGGTAGTGGTGGCGGTGGTGGCAGTGGTAGCGATGGTATTGGTGGTGGCGATGGTGGTGGTCGCGATGGTAATGGTGGTGGTAGTGGTGGTGATGGTGGTGGTAGCGATGGTAGTGGTGGTGGTAGTAGTGGTGATGGTGGCGCTAGCGATGGTAGTGGTGGCGGTGGTGGCAGTGGTTGCGATGGTGGTGGTGGTGTCAACGACGATGGTTGTTGGCATTGATGGGGGACGACAAAGGTGATGGTGATGGCGATGGTGGTTGGTGGAGGTGTCATTGGTGGCGATGGTGGTGTCATTGGTGGCAATGGTGGTTGATGGTGGTGGTGGTGGTGGCGGCGGCGATGGTGGTGATGGTGGTGGTGGTGTTGGCGATGGTGGTGTTGGTGGTGGTGGTGGTGATCCTGGTCTCACCTGACTGGGTAGAGATCCCAGATCCACGTTTCCGGGAAATATTCTCTGACGGCCTCCTTCACCATCTTGAACATCTCTTCGCCCTCTGTGCAGTTTAAGCGACAGGCAACGCAAGCAACACACGGTACATAAGGTACACAAGGTACATTAGGTACACAAGGTATATAAGGAACACGAGTTACATAATGTGCACGAGTTACATAATGTGCACGAGTCACATAAGGAACACGAGTTACATAATGTGCACGAGGTACATTAGGAAAATAAGTTACATAATGAACACGAGGTACACAAGGCACACAAGTTACATAATGTAGACAAGGTACATAAGGCACACAAGTTACACAAGGCACACAAATTACACAATTTACACTGGCTACACTTCCTTCATTCCTTCCCACATTTCTTTCCTCCTTCCCTCCCTTCCTTCCCGATTCATTCCCCCCTTCCCTGATTTATGTAACAGGAGACAAGGAGGAGGGCCTTTAAAGCCGCAAAAATATTTCGCTTCCCAGGAACGAACCTAACTCATGCAGCAGCAAAGGAGGAACAAGTTGGTGAGAGGCCATGACGGAAATAATTATAAACTTCGATTTAAAGCTTTCGTGACTGCAGGGATTCACATTCTTGGTTCTTTCCGTAAAGTCACCACCACGTAGAAGGGAAACAATAAAATAATATAAATATATATTTTTTATTATTTTATTGTTAACCTTCTACGTGACTTTACCGAAAGAACCAAGAATATGGAAATAATTCTCTTGCACGGGCAAAAGGGGGACTGTCTGAGAGAGCGAGGGAGGACCCCATGGCAAAGCGCCATAAGCTCCCTGCCCGCCCGACGGGGAAAAAAAAAAAAGACAGCGTCAAGAGAGACGGGAAATGTCCCTCGGCCGTTTCACTCCCCGAATCAAACAAAGCGTGGCGCCTGGACAGCTGAAGCGTTCAAATTGCCAATCGCTGCATGATGAACCTTTCTTAAACCGCCGTGGCATTAAACCGACTCCCTGACAACGGGAATCCTTCGGCGAGTCCTCGAGAGTGAGCGAGGGGCAGCCGAGACAGCGGCGCACAGAAGGAGACCTCCCGAGAGAGGTCGGGAGGAGGAGGAGGAGGAGGAGGGGAGGCACCGAGGGTGCGGCCACAGCCGCTGACAAGGAATGAGGTGGAGCGCGGCCACACACTCACGCACACGCGCACACACAGAGAGATGCAGATCGAGCCCTGGGCTGCCGAACCCGCAGCCGCATCGGGAGCAGCGGGCACCCTCCGGCGTGGACCAAGCACGATGAGCGGCGGGGAGGCCGTGGGTGCACGACTCGCTGCGGAGCTAAAGCCTGCCGCCGTCCCGCTACGGCTTACCGCTCACATTCTCGGTTCTTTCGGTAAAGTCACCACCGCGTAGAAGGGAAACAATGAAATAATAAAAACGTACATATATATAAAAAACAAGAAAAATTCTCACGACGTTTCGACTGCGACACCACAAGCAGTCATTATCATCATCATCATCAGGTGTGAAAACCAACGGCAAGAACGGTGGCTTTCAGACAGCATGCATTCATTTTTCGTCTCCCCCCCGTCCGGTTTTCCGAACATAGATGGACTCGTATTCTTAGTTCTTTCGGTAAAGTCACGTTGAAGGGAAACAACAAAATAATAAAATATATATAAAACAATATGAATTACTGCAGTCACGAAAGCTTTAAATCAAAATAGATGGACTCGTCCATCTAATCAAACATGTCAAATCGCTCTCCGTGGTGCTAACGTTCCAAAAATAAACAAAATACAAACCGCCACTTCTTTCAAATGTTTCTTGCCGTTGGTTTTATTTTTTATTATTTTATTATTTCCCTTCCACGCGGTGGTGACTTCACCGAAAGAACCGAGAAGATGAATCCCTGCAGTCGCGAAAAAGCTTTAAATCGGAATGTATTCGATACGCATTCGCCGAGAAAGGCATTCTGCGTGGATATCGCCACTCTGAGGTGCTGCCCATTGTTAGGGTTTAGTCACGTGATCGCGAGGTTTGACCATTGATGCTTTTGTGATCGTCCAGTACGGATTGACTCGTTGAGTATTTTTTTTTTTGCACGGGCTCCGCTGTCGGCATCCCGATGATGAGAGTTTGATGTTGGGGCAGGTTAAAGTTGCTGAGATTTAAATAAAAAAAACGGGTTTACGAGTGGCCCTATCCTAAACTCGTGCTCATCGTCGTAATGATGAACTGTACCCCGCGGTGAGATCTGAATCCCGAGACCTGACACAGTTACACATCATCATTGTGAAAGCAATAATCCTGAATGTAGAGGCAGAGAATCGTAAATGTTGAGATTAAAGCAAGAATCATTGATATTATCACAATTGGTGAAGCATACTCCGAGGCAACGAGAGAGCCAATACTGATAATCGCACCACCTAATAATTGTACACGAGGTGACACACACGCAGACATAATCACATTCACATAATCACATACACACGCACGTAATTTCGTGCTAAGACACGTGTAATTAATTACACTTAACACACATTTGCAGTTAATAACACTTATTTACATGAATAAACATTTTTGGTTGCAATTTTTACATTTATAATTGTTATTTTTGTATTTTTAAAAATAATTTCTTATATAATATTCACTTTAATAACAATACATACAACGTGGTGGTGGAGATTGGTGGTGGTAGTGGTGATGGTGATGATAATGGTGGTGATAGTGGTAGAGACGGTGATATTGGTGGTGGGGACAGTGATAGTGGTGGTGGTGATAGTGGTAGAGACGGTGATATTGGTGGTGGGGACAGTGATAGTGGTGGTGGAGACAGTGATAGTGATAGTGGTGGTCGTGGAGACAGTGATAGTGGTGGTGGAGACAGTGATAGTGGTGGTGGTGGTGGAGACAGTGATAGTGGTGGTGGAGATTGGTGGTGGTGGTGGTGGAGACAGTGATAGTGGTGGTGGAGACAGTGATAGTGGTGGTGGTGGAGACAGTGATAGTGGTGGTGGAGACAGCGATATTGGTGGTGGGGACAGTGATAGTGGTGGTGGTGGTGGAGACAGTGATAGTGGTGGTGGAGATTGGTGGTGGTGGTGGTGGAGACGGTGATAGTGGTGGTGGTGGGGACAGTGATAGTGGTGGTGGTGGAGACAGTGGTGGTGGTGGTGGAGAGAGTGATAGTGGTGGTGGTGGTGGTGGAGACAGTGATAGTGGTGGTGGAGAGTGTGATAGTTGTGGTGGTGGAGACAGTGATAGTGGTGGTGGAGACAGTGATAGTGGTGGTGGAGACAGTGATAGTGGTGGTGGAGACAGTGATAATGGTGGTGGAGACAGTGATAGTGGTGGTGGTGGGGACAGTGATAGTGGTGGTGGAGACAGTGATAGTGGTGGTGGAGACAGTGATAGTGGTGGTGGTGGAGATAGTGATAGTGGTGGTGGAGACAGTGATAGTGGTGGTGGAGACAGTGATAGTGGTGGTGGTGGAGATTGGTGGTGGTGGTGGAGACGGTGATAGTGGTGGTGGAGACAGTGATAGTGGTGGTGGAGACAGTGATAGTGGTGGTGGTGGTGGAGACAGTGATAGTGGTGGTGGAGATTGGTGGTGGTGGTGGAGACAGTGATAGTGGTGGTGGTGGAGACAGTGGTAGTGGTGGTGGTGGAGACAGTGATAGTGGTGGAGACAGCGATATTGGTGGTGGGGACAGTGATAGTGGTGGTGGTGGTGGTGGAGACAGTGATAGTGGTGGTGGAGATTGGTGGTGGTGGTGGTGGAGACGGTGATAGTGGTGGTGGTGGGGACAGTGATAGTGGTGGTGGTGGTGGAGACAGTGGTGGTGGTGGTGGAGAGAGTGATAGTGGTGGTGGAGACAGTGATAGTGGTGGTGGAGAGTGTGATAGTGGTGGTGGTGGAGACAGTGATAGTGGTGGTGGAGACAGTGATAGTGGTGGTGGAGACAGTGATAGTGGTGGTGGAGACAGTGATAATGGTGGTGGAGACAGTGATAGTGGTGGGGACAGTGATAGTGGTGGTGGAGACAGTGATAGTGGTGGTGGAGACAGTGATAGTGGTGGTGGTGGAGATTGGTGGTGGTGGTGGAGACGGTGATAGTGGTGGTGGAGACAGTGATAGTGGTGGTGGAGACAGTGATAGTGGTGGTGGTGGTGGTGGAGACAGTGATAGTGGTGGTGGAGATTGGTGGTGGTGGTGGTGGAGACAGTGATAGTGGTGGTGGTGGAGACAGTGATAGTGGTGGTGGTGGAGACAGCGATATTGGTGGTGGGGACAGTGATAGTGGTGGTGGTGGTGGAGACAGTGATAGTGGTGGTGGAGATTGGTGGTGGTGGTGGAGACGGTGATAGTGGTGGTGGTGGGGACAGTGATAGTGGTGGTGGTGGAGACAGTGGTGGTGGTGGTGGTGGAGAGAATGATAGTGGTGGTGGTGGAGACAGTGATAGTGGTGGTGGAGAGTGTGATAGTGGTGGTGGTGGTGGAGACAGTGATAGTGGTGGTGGAGACAGTGATAGTGGTGGTGGAGACAGTGATAGTGGTGGTGGTGGGGACAGTGATAGTGGTGGTGGAGACAGTGATAGTGGTGGTGGAGACAGTGATAGTGGTGGTGGTGGAGATTGGTGGTGGTGGTGGGGACGGTGATAGTGGTGGTGGAGACAGTGATAGTGGTGGTGGAGACAGTGATAGTGGTGGTGGTGGAGACAGTGATAGTGGTGGTGGAGACAGTGATAGTGGTGGTGGAGACAGTGATAATGGTGGTGGTGGTGGTGGAGACAGTGATAGTGGTGGTGGAGATTGGTGGTGGTGGTGGAGACGGTGATAGTGGTGGTGGAGACAGTGATAGTGGTGGTGGAGACAGTGATAGTGGTGGTGGTGGTGGAGACAGTGATAGTGGTGGTGGAGATTGGTGGTGGTGGTGGTGGTGGAGACAGTGATAGTGGTGGTGGAGATTGGTGGTGGTGGTGGAGACGGTGATAGCGGTGGTGGTGGGGACAGTGATAGTGGTGGTGGTGGTGGTGGAGACAGTGGTGGTGGTGGTGGTGGAGAGAATGATAGTGGTGGTGGTGGAGACAGTGATAGTGGTGGTGGAGAGTGTGATAGTGGTGGTGGTGGAGACAGTGATAGTGGTGGTGGAGACAGTGATAGTGGTGGTGGAGACAGTGATAGTGGTGGTGGTGGGGACAGTGATAGTGGTGGTGGAGACAGTGATAGTGGTGGTGGAGACAGTGATAGTGGTGGAGATTGGTGGTGGTGGTGGTGGAGACGGTGATAGTGGTGGTGGAGACAGTGATAGTGGTGGTGGTGGTGGTGGAGACAGTGATAGTGGTGGTGGAGACAGTGATAGCGGTGGAGATTGGTGGTGGTGGTGGAGACGGTGATAGTGGTGGTGGAGACAGTGATAGTGGTGGTGGTGGTGGTGGTGGAGACAGTGATAGTGGTGGTGGAGAGAGTGATAGTGGTGGTGGAGACAGTGATAGTGGTGGTGGAGACAGTGATAGTGGTGGTGGTGGAGATTGGTGGTGGTGGTGGTGGAGACAGTGATAGTGGTGGTGGTGGTGGTGGAGACAGTGATAGTGGTGGTGGTGGGGACAGTGATAGTGGTGGTGGAGACAGTGATAGTGGTGGTGGAGACAGTGATAGTGGTGGTGGTGGTGGAGACTGTGATAGTGGTGGTGGTGGAGACAGTGATAGTCGTGGTGGTGGGGACAGTGATAGTGGTGGTGGTGGTGGAGACAGTGATAGTGGTGGTGGTGGAGACAGTGATAGTGGTGGTGGAGACAGGGATAGTGGTGGTGGTGGAGACAGTGATAGTGGTGGTGGAGACAGTGATAATGGTGGTGGAGACAGTGATAGTGGTGGTGGTGGAGATTGGTGGTGGTGGTGGAGACGGTGATAGTGGTGGTGGAGACAGTGATAGTGGTGGTGGAGACAGTGATAGTGGTGGTGGTGGAGACAGTGATAGTGGTGGTGGTGGAGACAGTGATAGTGGTGGTGGAGACAGTGATAGTGGTGGTGGAGACAGTGATAGTGGTGGTGGTGGAGACAGTGATAGTGGTGGTGGTGGAGACAGCGATATTGGTGGTGGGGACAGTGATAGTGGTGGTGGTGGTGGTGGAGACAGTGATAGTGGTGGTGGAGATTGGTGGTGGTGGAGACGGTGATAGTGGTGGTGGTGGGGACAGTGATAGTGGTGGTGGTGGAGACAGTGGTGGTGGTGGTGGAGAGAGTGATAGTGGTGGTGGTGGAGACAGTGATAGTGGTGGTGGAGAGTGTGATAGTGGTGGGGGTGGAGACAGTGATAGTGGTGGTGGAGACAGTGATAGTGGTGGTGGTGGGGACAGTGATAGTGGTGGTGGAGACAGTGATAGTGGTGGTGGAGACAGTGATAGTGGTGGTGGTGGTGGAGATTGGTGGTGGTGGTGGGGACGGTGATAGTGGTGGTGGAGACAGTGATAGTGGTGGTGGTGGAGACAGTGATAGTGGTGGTGGAGGCAGTGATAGTGGTGGTGGTGGAGACAGTGATAGTGGTGGTGGAGACAGTGATAGTTGTGGTGGAGACAGTGATAGTGGTGGTGGAGACAGTGATAGTGGTGGTGGTGGAGATTGGTGGTGGTGGAGACGGTGATAGTGGTGGTGGAGACAGTGATAGTGGTGGTGGTGGTGGAGACAGTGATAGTGGTGGTGGAGACATTGATAGTGGTGGTGGAGACAGTGATAGTGGTGGAGACAGTGATAGTGGAGACAGTGATAGTGGTGGTGGTGGAGACAGTGATAGTTGTGGTGGTGGGGACAGTGATAGTTGTGGTGGTGGGGACAGTGATAGTGGTGGTGGTGGTGGTGGAGACAGTGATAGTGGTGGTGGAGATTGGTGGTGGTGGTGGAGACAGTGATAGTGGTGGTGGTGACAATGATAGTGGTGGTGGGGACAGTGATAGTGGTGGTGGTGGTGGTGGAGACAGTGATAGTGGTGGTGGAGACAGTGATATTGGTGGCGGGGACAGTGATAGTGGTGGTGGTGGAGACAGTGATAGTGGTGGTGGAGACAGTGATAGTGGTGATGGTGGAGACAGTGATAGTGGTGGTGGAGACAGTGATATTGGTGGTGGGGACAGTGATAGTGGTGGTGGTGGTGGAGACAGTGATAGTGGTGGTGGTGGTGGTGGTCGTGGAGACAGTGATATTGGTGGTGGGGACAGTGATAGTGGTGGTGGTGGTGGGGACAGTGATAGTGGTGGTGGTGGAGACAGTGATAGTGGTGGTGGTGGTGGAGACAGTGATAGTGGTGGTGGTGGAGACAGTGGTGGTGGTGGTGGTGGAGACAGTGATAGTGGTGGTGGTGGGGACAGTGATAGTGGTGGTGGTGGAAACAGTGATAGTGGTGGTGGAGACAGTGATAGTGGTGGTGGTAGAGACAGTGATAGTGGTGGTGTTGGTGGAGATAGTAGTGGTGGTGGAGATAGTGGTGTTGGAGATGGTGATAGTGGTGGTGGCGGTGGTGCACATCTGAGATTGGTACCTTGCTCCATGTGACGAATTTTTCCACGATCACCGAACACCCGAGGTGGGCTGTTGACAATTTTACTGTAATAGTGGATGTCATCTTGACGGTTATGGCAATCCACTGACCTCTTCACGGTAGTGTCGGTCAGAACCACCAGGCCCATGCCCTGTGAGTTGAAGAAGATCACGGTGGTGGTGGTGATGATGGCAATAATAATCATTATTATTATCAGTCCAATGACTGAGATCACTGGCTGATGCACCACCTGTGCCCTCTACTGTGCCAAGTTGCTGTACTTTAGCCACCCGGCGCTCCGCTCGTTGTTGTGAGCATCGCTCCACTGCCCTCCATTGTTGCTGGAGGGCGACTGCCTCCACCTGCCCAGTAGCGGCCTTCACGAGCCTCCTCCACAGATACCAGTCATCAGCAAGTCCACGCAGCTCTACATCCAATTGTACCACATTACACCATTTCCTCTCTAGCAAATGCCATGCCCATTTAGCCCTCTCCGGCCGAACAAAAGCTGTTTAGGCATGCGGTGGCTGGGCATGCGGGCTACATGACCCAGCCAACGCAGCCTTGCCTGCCGGAGAAGCTTGCTGATGGGACTTTGTCCAGATCTTTCAAGGATCTGTGAGCTCCTAAATATTTCCCACCAGCGAAGAAAGTCCCGTTTGGGGGGTCCACGTTTCACAAGCATAAAGAAAGGAGGGAATGACTGTGACCGAGAAGACCTGAAGCTTTGTGTGGAGCGACGGACCAGTTAGCTTTCACACAGCGTTAGGCAGCCGGTGAAAGGATAATGCCACTCGACTGATTTGGAGTGAGACCTCTGCTGTCAAAGTAGAGCCGGTCATGAGCACACTTCCCAGGCATGGGAAACTCTCCACTTTCTCCACAACTGCTCCATCACCAATTGGGAGTTGTGGGGGTGGAGTGTCCGATGGTACAAAATACCAAGGCAGGTGCTTAGTTTTTGTGGGGCTAATGGTAAGGCCCCACCTTTTAGTGGCAAGCTCCAGGTTCAGCAGCCGTGCCTCCAAATCCTCCTCTGAGTGAGCAGCAATAACCCGATCATAAGCATATATAACGTGGTTGAGCAATAGGACAGCCACCCCTTGACCACACCCGGGAAGAGACCAGCCTCCCATTGTATCTGTACCAGATGGAAATTCCTCTGGTACAGCCATCGAAGACTTGACGAACTACGTTGTCGAAATAGATGTTAAATAATGTGGGAGCCAGAGGACATCCCAGTCGCACCCCAAGGTGAAAAGGGAATGGCTCTGACTCCCGGCCACGTAGTTTTACCCGGGCCCGCTCACCATCATGAAGGTCCTTAATGATCGTGAGCAGAGGGTCAGGGACTCCAAAAGCACGAAGATCAACCAGAGCCCAGGCCTACTGATGGTATCATAGGCCTTGACCAGGTCAATAAAGCAGAGATGTAGGTCTTGCTGGAATTCCCTACACCTCTGCTGTAGCAGACGGACAGAAAATATGGCATCTGTGCAGGACTGCCCTTTCCTGAAACCGCATTGGGGCTCCGCAAGCCTCTCCTCAGCGTGCCTGGCAAGGCGATGTTGAATAAGCCTTGCCAGGACCTTTCCCGGCACACTGAGGAGTGAGATGCCCCTGTAATTGTTACACTCTGTGCGGTCCCCTTTCTTAAAGAGGGGGACCACCAGGGAATCCTTCCAATCCTGAGGAACCCGTCCAGTGGTCCACACTGTTGTTATGATGTCATATATGTCAGTCTGTGCACAAACGCCACCCTCCCTCAGCATTTCGCTTGGGAGATCATCTCTGCCCGGTGCCTTTCCTGGTCTCAGACTCTGGATCGCCTTCAGTACTTCCTCAACATATGGCACCTCAGCCAGCCACTCACAGGGGGTGACTTCCTCCAATATTTGAGGCACCGCAGCCTCAGCAGGGTCATCCCCAATTTGTGCCACGATGTTTTCCTGGCTGAGGGATTTTCCCTCCCCCAAGGCCTCACAGAAATGCTCAGAAAATCTGCAAACCTGTTCCTGGGGGTCAGAGATTGGATCACCGTTTTTTCCCCTAATGATAGTAATAGGTGTGGTGCTGCAGGTTACTTTTTTGATGGAGTTAGATAGCGATTTGTGATCGCGGGCCACTGAGGCAGACTCCATCTCCTCAGCAACCCGCGACCACCACAATCCTTGCAGCGCCTCACGGCTCTCCAAACATCCGAGCGAAGGCTGCGGTAAGCATCCTCACTCTCTGACGTGGGATTCTGTAGCCGATGACAGTGGGCCTGTCGCTTTTTCTCAACTATCCTGAACACCTCCTCTGTCAGCCAGGGTCTCTGGGGAGGTCTGGACCACGTACCCAAAGCAGCCATTGCAGCTGCATGGGTCACAGTCCTAAATCTCGCACATTTACCCTCACACACACACACACAGTGCCACACAAACACAGTGACACACACACACACACTTTGCTGTACCACCTTCTCCTGGCACATCCATGGTACAGCGTTGGTGTTGGAGATGGTGGTGGTGGTGGTGGAGATGGTGGTGGTGGAGATGGCGGAAGTGGCAGAGATGATGATAGTGGTTGTGGAGATGATGATTGTGGTGGTAGTGGTGGTGGTGGTAGTGGTGGTAGTGGAGATGATGATAGTGGTTGTGGAGATGATGATAGTGGTGGTTACGATGTTACTGGTGGTCACGCTGTTGTTATTGTTCTTGGTGGTGGTGGTGCGGGCGTTGTGGAGCACACACCTTGAACAGCCGATGCACGGTATTTGGGAAATAATCCAGCCAATCACTGTACAATCGTTTGCGCCATCGACCACTTCTCAGGCTGCAATCCAACCGCTCGATTCTGTAGTCGTAGGAACTGAGGTCCTGCACCTGAAGCCTTTGGAAAATCTGTCGGGACAAATCGCCGCGAGAGCAGACAGATATGCGGCGAGGAGACAGAGTTGACTTTCTTTTTTTTCCCGCACTCTGCTGTAGGAGGGAGTGAGATGGAACAGATGGAGATTAGTCCACACACTCTCCTGTAGGAGGGAGTGAGATGGAACAGATGGAGATTAGTCCACACACTCTCCTGTAGGAGGGAGTGAGATGGAACAGATGGAGATTAGTCCGCATACTCTCCTGTAGGAGGGAGTGAGATGGAACAGATGGAGATTAGTCCGCATACTCTGCTGTAGGAGGGAGTGAGATGGAACAGATGGAGATTAGTCCACACTCTGCTGCTGTAGGAGGGAGTGAGATGGAAAAGATGGAGATTAGTCCACACACTTTGTTGTAGCAGGCAGTGAGATGGAACAGATGGAGATTAGTCCATGCACTCTGCTGTAGGAGGGAGTGAGATGGAACAGATGGAGATTAGTCCACACACTGCTGTAGGAGGGAGTGAGATGGAACACATGGAGATTAGTCCACACACTCTGCTGTAGGAGGGAGTGAGATGGAACAGATGGAGATTAGTCCACACACTTTGCTGTAGCAGGGAGTGAGATGGAACAGATGGAGATTAGTCCACACACTCTCCTGTAGGAGGGAGTGAGATGGAACAGATGGAGATTAGTCCACACACTTTGCTGTAGCAGGGAGTGAGATGGAACAGATGGAGATTAGTCCACACACTCTCCTGTAGGAGGGAGTGAGATAGAACAGATGGAGATTAGTCTACACACTTTGCTGCAATAGGCAGTGAGATGGAAAAGATGGAGATTAGTCCACACACTCTCCTGTAGGAGGGAGTGAGATGGAACAGATGGAGATTAGTCCACACACTTTGCTGTAATAGGCAGTGAGATGGAACAGATGGAGATTAGTCCACACTTTGCTGTAGCAGGGAGTGAGATGGAACACATGGAGATTAGTCTTTGCTGTAATAGGCAGTGAGATTGAACAGATGGAATTTAGTCCACACACTGCTGTAGGAGGGAGTGAGATTGAACAGATGGAGATAGTCCACACACTGCTGTAGGAGGGAGTGAGATTGAACAGATGGAGATTAGTCCACACACTCTGCTGTAGGAGGGAGTGAGATGGAACAGATGGAGATTAGTCTACACACTCTGCTGTAGGAGGAAGTGAGATGGAAAAGATGGAGATTAGCCCACACACTTTGCTGTAGCAGGGAGTGAGAAGGAACAGATGGAGATTAGTCCACACACTCTCCTGTAGGAGGGAGTGAGATGGAACAGATGGAGATTAGTCTACACACTTTGCTGTAATAGGCAGTGAGATAGAACAGATGGAGATTAGTCCACACACTCTCCTGTAGGAGGGAGTGAGATGGAACAGATGGAGATTAGTCCACACACTCTCCTGTAGGAGGGAGTGAGATGGAACAGATGGAGATTAGTCTACACACTTTGCTGTAATAGGCAGTGAGATGGAAAAGATGGAGATTGGTCCACACACTTTGCTGTAGCAGGGAGTGAGATGGAACAGATGGAGATTAATCCACACACTTTGCTGTAGGAGAGAGTGAGATGGAACAGATGGAGATTAGTGCACACACTCTGCTGTAGGAGGGAGTGAGATGGAACAGATGGAGATTAATCCACACACTTTGCTGTAGGAGAGAGTGAGATGGAACAGATGGAGATTAGTGCACACACTCTGCTGTAGGAGGCAGTGAGATGGAAAAGATGGAGATTAGTCCACACACTTTGTTGTAGCAGGCAGTGAGATGGAACAGATGGAGATTAGTCCACACACTTTGCTGTAGCAGGGAGTGAGATGGAACACATGAAGATTAGTCTTTGCTGTAATAGGCAGTGAGATTGAACAGATGGAATTTAGTCCACACACTGCTGTAGGAGGGAGTGAGATTGAACAGATGGAGATTAGTCCACACACTGCTGTAGGAGGGAGTGAGATTGAACAGATGGAGATTAGTCCACACACTCTGCTGTAGGAGGGAGTGAGATTGAACAGATGGAGATTAGTCCACACACTCTGCTGTAATAGGCAGTGAGATTGAACAGATGGAGATTAGTCCCACACTCTGCTGTAATAGGCAGTGAGATTGAACAGATGGAGATTAGTCCCCACACTCTGCTGTAATAGGCAGTGAGATTGAACAGATGGAGATTAGTGCACACACTCTGCTGTAATAGGCAGTGAGATTGAACATATGGAAATTATTCCACACACTCTGCTGTAGGAGAGAGTGAGATGGAACAGATGGAGATTAGTCCACATACTGCTGTAATAGGCAGTGGGATTGAACAGATGGAGATTAGTCCACACACTCTGCCTGTCTACCCACCGCCTTCTCCTGGCAGAGCCATGGGGTACAGCTCCTCCTCGACACAGACCCACGGGAAAATAAGGTTTTAGTTGATTGTTGTTATTATTGTTCTTATTATTGTTGTTATTAACGTTGCTATTGTTATTATTATTGCCGTTATTGTTGTTACTATTTTTATTATTGTTATTATTGTTACTATTGTAGGGGATCTGCGAGCCACCGAGACGCACCAAATCGCACGCGTGGGAATGCGCGGGTCAGGGGTCAAAGGGCAGTGACGTCACCGGGACCGAGGCGTGCCAGACGGGAATGTGTATTGGAGATGGGTTAAAGGGCGCTGTGGGACGGGTGTTCGGGGTTGGTTGTGGAACGAGTGTTGCTGTGCATCGGCGAATTACAGAAGTGCTTCAAACCATTCTCGACTCCTCTTCATCTGGTGGCAGCGGTGGGATGTCTCGCCTCACCCGAAGCAAGAACCCACGTTGGGGAGACACAGACAAGAAGACGCTCTGGGTGCCCGGGACGATATCTGCTCCGTAACGGAACGGACGAGTTGGGATTCGCCTCCCGGCTCATCGACGAGATCCGTGGCAGCTGCTTGTCCCGTGCGGCCACCTTCCTCCACCAACCCAGCGAGGAGACGGGGGTGTGTCGCTCAGCCTTCCCGACCAGGCACTCCGCAGCATCTCTCCGGGGATGGAGCAGCATCAACGATGCCGCCGACCCTGCGTCCGGCGCGGGACCTGGGCGAGCGCTCCAGTCGGTCCTCCCGAGATCCTCCGACAGCAGCGGCAACCGGGGGGGGGCGAGATGCAGCCGGAACCTCCGGGCGAGGCGGCCCGCGGAGGAAGGATCAGGATGGAGCCGCCAGCTGGGCCGCGATGCAGGAAGTTTGCGTCCAGATCGGGAGAATTGTCGCGCTTTCGCCCGCCGGTTTGAGACGGCCCGCCCCGGGGCAATGAGGTGGACGCGGTGAGCAAGCCCTGACGATGCTGCCCAGCGTTGTTGGACGACCGCACGCTGGTGGCGTTCGACCGGATTCTGGCTGAAAAACGAGGAACCCTGCAGGGTGCCTGCAGGGAGATGGCGGACGTTGTTCGATCCTCCGTCCGGAGTGCGCCAGAGGTTTCTAGGCCGCCGGCGTGAAGCATTTCGAATCGTTCCCGGTCCTCAGGACGGAAACCGGTGGCGACGGCAGAAGCCGCATTCCCGGCGGCTCAACGAGCCGGCCCTGGGACTCGCTGGTGGCGGGGCCGGCTCCTTGCCCGTGGCACGGAAGGCGGGAGCGATGCTGCCGGCGGTGGAGGAGCAAGTCCGCACCTCGCTACGGGCCGCACGCCATCATCATCTGCGCTTACGAGGAGATGGCGGGAACCGCGCGAGCCGTGGCGCGCGCCGACCCCGGCGATGGGCACCCAGTGAGGCAGGAGATCATCCTCGGGTCAACGACGACATCGTCAGCCACCGCTGCGGCCGGGAGGGACGAGTCGTCCGCGGACGCCGCAGCAGGACGAGCGCGCCGGGGCGGCGGCCAGCCGGGATCGTCAGCCTCGGTCCGCGGCCGTTCAGACCCGGGCGAGCGCCGACACCTCGAACACCCGGCCAGAACCATGCACGCCATGTTTACCCCGTCACGCGTCCCAAACGCTCGGGGGCGCAGGCTAGGATTCCCGCTGACGGTCCGGGCACCGTGGCCGGACACGGTTAAAAAGTGGCGTCGGTGGGTCCGCGTCGGTAGGCTCGGTGGCAGGGGTCAGCGTCCGCGTGTTGGCCGACGCCGGTGCGTCGGCGAGCATCGCGTCCCCGCGTATCTTTGACCTGTCACCGGAGGGACAGCGCCGTCTCGCGCCGACGCAGGCCAGACACGTAGCCGCGAATGGGGGAAGTATGGGGATAGTGGGCCAAGTGGTAGCGCCGGTCCGCACCGGGGAGCTGGAGGTACGTCGTGCTCCGGTACTGGTCTCCAGTGTGCTCACGGTTCCCTGCCTGCTGGGCACGGACCTGTTGGGGCTCATGCCCCTTCGCATTCTGATGGACGGAGGCTGCGTCGAGACCCCGTCGGGGAGGGGGGGGGGAGAGGGTTGCTTGTATTTCTTGTGCCCAGATGGGGAAGCGAAGCAGCTCACGCGAGTTCAGACGCTGATCAAGACCACGGTTCTCGATCCCGCCTCTGGTGCGCGGGTCTTGGTGCCGCTCCGATATCGCAGCCCCGCTCGTCACTTCCCGGTCGGATGCGCCGCTCATCGTCTCCGCAGTGGTATCAGTGGTGGGTCGCCACTGTTTGGCAGCAGCTGACACGCCTCTGTTCACGCAGGTCCTCAACACACGGCCGACACCCCGGTAACAATTCAGGAAGGGACCTTGTTCGTAAAACGTCAGTCCCAGGCATTCGAACCCTGAGGGGAGCAGGGTGCTGTCTCCCCGGCCGAGCAGCGGTACTGCGTTAAGCGCCGGGAATTTGTTGGCCCATTGTGGTTTTTCGTGAAAATCAATACCGGCCTTATCTGCGTGGCTCCGACCACGCAGCGCTCCAATACGCGCTGCGTGTGGATCAGCCCTCAGGCCAATTGTCACGCTGGCTTGAAATCCCGCAGGCGGAAGACGCGTCCTCGATTAAAATCACGTCGGCGAGTCAGAGAGGCCGCCGGTGAGACGGCCACACGTGGTGTCGCCTCGGTTGTCCCGCGGGGCAGGCTGTTCATGCACTGGGACGGTGGATTATGCCGGTACGCTATTGTTGTCCCCCACCACTCTGCTGTGGTGAGGTTGTTTGAGCGCAGCCAGCGTTTTTTTGCGCCCCCAGATGCATTGACAATGTGCTGAAAGGTTGCGTACAATGTGCGCGGCAGAAGCCACCGGCGAAATCTTGTTGCCCTCCGCTACAGTCCATTCAGGTGCCGCGAATCAACGAGCCGATTGCCCTCTGTAATCTTGGTCCATTTCCAACATCCGCGCGCGAGGCAACAAATACTTGCTCGTTGGCGTTGAGTATTTCTCACGCTGGCCTATGGCCTGGCCGCTCCCGAATCAATCGGCTGTAGTTGTGACCGAGGCGTTCCGTAATGGCCTATGTCCTGGATAAGGGTGCCCCCCGAACGCCTTTTGACCGATCAAGGTAAAATATTTTACTTGAAACTGCTAAGGTGAGGTTTTGCGATTTGCTGGGGGCAAAGAAGGTGCGCACGTCACCATACCATCCACCGATGGACGGCACGGTCGAACGCCTGAACAGAACGCCGACCTCCATGTTGAGTCACCCGGTCAGCGAGTCACAGCTGGATTGGGACTTGCATGTCCCTGCGGTTCTCACCGCCCTCCAGGATGGCCCCTCGCTCGTCCACCGGCTACTCTCCATTATTTTTAATGTATGGACAGGAATATGATCCTCACATCGACGTACAGTTGCGGGCGGGCCGCGCCGGCCGTGAAAGCGTCAAAAGATTCCGTGACATCTCCTGAAAAGCTCTCCGAAGCGCGGGAAGCTTCCAGGGTCAACTCCCGAGCCGGACAGTTGGCTAACGAGCGGCTGAAGGGGGCTCACATTTCCCCGTGCGATTGGTCCGCAGGTGCCCGTGGGCAGATCCCCTAAATTGCTGCTTCCCTGGAGGGGGGCCGGTTGATGTTGTTCGGGTCGTGCGTCCAGAATGTGTTGTTATTGTTGTTATTGTTGTTATGGTTGTTGTTATTGTTGTTATTGTTATGGTTGTTGTTATTGTTGTTATTGTTGTTGTTGTTATTGTTATGGTTGTTGTTATTGTTGCCCCCCTTACCGACTCGGCCGACAGCTGAGCTTCGGGCTTGAGGAGGAGGACGCTCTTGTCGACGACGCGCAGCGCGCACAGAGAGCCGGGAGACGCACGGATCGACAGCGTGGACACGGCTCCCGGAAGTTCCTGCTCATGCTCAAATCCCACAGACACCTGCGCATGCACACGCACACACGCACACACGCACACACGCACACACACACGCACACACACACACGCACACACGTACATGCATGCACACGCACGCACACGCACGCACACGCACATGAATGCACACGCACGCACATGAATGCACACGCACACACACACATGCACACGCACGCACACACACAAAGACGTATAGCCTCTAGCAGGATGTAGGGCCAAGTACTGTTCGCGAGCACTGATGAAGGCCGGCACTGTGGCACACGAGGGCGTGGGTGGCCAACACCACGTCCGGCCGCCTTTGTCTCCCCCGGTTGCGATGTTTACTACACACCGTACCAGGTACTCATTTTGTGGCTGAGTCGACCTAGGGGAGGCCCAGGACCAGTTCGGATGATCGTCATTGGCGTTGGCCGTGACAGGGAATCGAACTCGAGCCGCCGGAGTTCGTAGCGCAGCGTAGCGCTAACCGCTGCACCACCGCTCGTCACGCGGAAACACGTCCAATCCACTGCAGCAGAATGGGAGGCCCCTCCCCCACCCATACCCCCCCCCCGCTTTTATGACGTCACAATGCTGTTCCTGGGAACCCCCCACCCCCTGTTTTCCCCATAGACTAAGAGTAGAATCGGTAGCAACGTCACTTGCCGATGTGTTTTTTCCTTTCAGCGGCCGTGTTCATCCACTGTGGCTAGGAGATGTTAACTACCTCACCTGGTATGCAGGAGGTTGTGGGTTCGAACCCGGCCGTGGCGATGCCTGCTGCTGCTGTATATTTGGAGTTTGCGTGTCTCTCACTCTCTCATCATCACCATTACGGTGGCTAGGAGATGTTAACTACCTCGCCTGGTGTACAGGAGATCCTGGTTTACAGTCTCTCCCCGTGGCCGCGTGGATTTTTCTCCGGGTCCTCCGGTTTTCCCCTCAACATTTAGAATCAACGTCTCTACGTGTTTAGAGGTATTTGGCTGCTGCTCTAAATGTGTGATGGCCAGGTCGCTTCTGGAAAAGACCTATACACATACCTGTCAACCCCTTATCAATGCCCTACCTTATTACAGATCAATTCAGACTACCGTACACTATACACTACACTACTATACACTACACTACTACATACCTGTCAACCCCTTATCAATGCCCTACCTTATTACACGTCAATTCAGGCTACAGTACACTATACACTACACTATACACTATGCTACTATACACTACACTACTACATACCTGGCAACCCCTTATCAATGACCTACCTTATTACAGGTCAATTCAAACTACCGTACACTATACACTACACTACCATACACTAAACTACTACATACCTGTCAACCCCTTATGAATGCCCTACCTTATTACATGCCAATTCAGACTACCGTACACTATACACTACACTACTATACACTACACTACTACATACCTGTCAACCCCTTATCAATGCCCTACCTTATTACACGTCAATTCAGACTACCGTACACTATACACTACACTACTATACACTAAACTACTACATACTTGGCAACCCCTTATCAATGTCCTACCTTATTACAGGTCAATTCAGACTACCGTACACTATACACTACACTACTATACACTACACTACTACATATCTGACAACCCCTTATTAATGCCCTACGTTATTACAGGCCAATTCAGACTACCGTACACTATACACTACACTATACACTACACTACTATACACTACACTACTACATACCTGGCAACCCCTTATCAATACCCTACCTTATTACAGGTCAATTCAGACTACCGTACACTATACACTACACTATACACTACACTACTATACACTACACTACTAAATACCTGTCAACCCCTTATCAATGCCCTTCCTTATTACAGGTCAATTCAGACCCCCGTAGAAAAATCCACGCGACAACGATGAGAGAGAGACACAAACCACAAATATACCCCAGGTGTCATGTAACTAAGGCTTTCATGTAACCCAGACCTTAATAAACCAAGGCCTTATGTAATTATAGCCTTCGGGTAACTAAGGCCTTCATGTGACCCACGACCTCCTGCATACCAGGCGAGGTGGTCAACATCTCCTCGCCACCGTGGTAATGATGCGAGAGAGACACGCGGACTCCCAGCATACAGCAGCAGGCATCGTCGGGGTCGGGATCGAACCCACGACCTCCTGCATACCGGGCGAGGTGGTCAACATCTCCTCGCCACCGTGGCCGCCAGCCTGGCGCACCTTGTTGGGGAAGCACTTGCGCACGGTCAGGGCGAGCGTGTCGGCCACCGTCTCGTTGCCGAAGACCATCCAGGCGAGGAGTCGGGCCGTCGGCGCGAAGCTGTGTTTAACCTTGAGGTCAAAGTGATGGGAATGCGTTTTGCCTGCGCGCGGTACACAAACACGCACGTACACACACACACACATAAACACGCACGTACACACACACACACATAAACACGCACGTACACACGCACCACCAACAATAACAACAACCGCCATTCGCGCATTAAGGCTATTGCGTGAAGTGTCGAATGCCCCCTGGCCGGTCCACATAGAGGGTTGGGACTCACCATCAGCCCCATAAAAACAAAGCACCTGCATGGGTATCTTACGCCAACCAAATACTCCATCCCCTCAACTCGCCCATGAGTTGTGGAGAGAGAGAAAGAGAGTCTAGAAGTGTTTGTACCTGCGCAGTGTGTATATGTCTAGCTCCAGTTTGGAATACACAGACATACACAGACTTACACAGACTTACACAGACACACAGAGACTTACGCAGATACACATACATGGCCATTGTGAACCCTTTCCACCTCCCCGTGTAATCCACAGTGTATCAGAATACAGGTGGTGTCATTAATTCTCGTACCCAGGTACACGTTGTCCATTGTGAATGACTCCGTGTGCATGATATTTCCTCTTGACATGACCTGAACAACAAGAAAAACTACAATGCCAACAATATCACCTCAAAGCACACCTGTATTTCGGCGCTTCATGTATATCTTACATAAGATGCTGCGTGTGTATGTTGAACTTCTTCTGCGCCGTACATAGCCAAGCGTGCTATGTGTGTGTAATGACAATAGTGCCTTATGTGGTGTGAGTGGACTGGTGGCCACGGGAGGTAATGACAGGGGAGTCAGCCTGCGGTTTGAACGGACTGGTGGCCACGGGAGGTAATGACAGGGGAGTCAATCTGCAGTACGAATGGACTGGTGGCCACGGGAGGTAATGACAGGGGAGTCAGCCTGCAGTACGAATGGACTGGTGGCCACGGGAGGTAATGACAGGGGAGTCAGCCTGTGGTTTGAACGGACTGGTGGCCACGGGAGGTAATGACAGGGGAGTCAATCTGCAGTACGAATGGACTGGTGGCCACGGGAGTTAATGACAGGGGTATCAGCTGTGAGTGCGAAGGAACCGGTGGCTGCCGGAATGCTCGAGAAAGGAGCGTGGTCAGGTGATGGAAGCGGACGGTAGAGTCTGCTGATAGAGAGAGCGTCCAGAGTCGGCAAGAATGATTGAGAAAGGGGGCGTGGCCTCATGTTCATATACAAGGGAGACTAGGGGCCATTGCAGTGGGATCTTTGCCTGATATTAAGTGAACGCGTCTTCAATAAAGTGCCACCTCAAGAGAAGTGTGTCAAGGCATCATTACATATGTATGCTGAACTTCTTTCGCACCATACATAGCCAACCGTTCTGTGTGTGTGTATGTTGAACTTCTTTCACCCTGTACGTAGCCAACCGTGCTGTGTGTTGGACCTCTTTTGCACCATACGTAGCCAACCATGCTGTGTGTGTGTAATTTACACTTCTTTCGCACCGTACATAAGCAACCATGATATATGTGTGTGTATGTATGTATAACTTCTTTCGCACCGTACGTAGCCAACTGCGCGGTGTGCGTGTTGAACTTATTTCACCCCATACGTAGCCAACCGTGCTATTTGTACGTATGTTGAACTTCTTTAGCCCCACACGTAGCTAACCGTGCTGTGTGTGTGTATATGCTGAACGTCTTTTGCACCGTACGTAGCCAAACCGTGCTCATCGGAGGTGCGGGGCGACGGTGGGGGAAGCACATCAAGTTAAAGATGACACAGTAATCCAGTGGCCGTCCTAATTTTGACAGTGGTGAGTGCAATGACCGTGGAATATCACGCGGTGCGCGGTTAATGGCTGATGTTAAAGATCCCCACCGGACGTGATTCGAAATGACAAGGCCGTGGTGTGCCGCTCATCGTTTGTCCAAATTGGCCCCCCGATAACAGAGCTACCTGTCTTGAAAATTCTCGTCCATTGTTCGCGTGCAAGCGAGTCCGTGGGTTAGTGAGTGAGTTGACGTGTGGGTGAGTGAGTTAGTGAGTGAGTCGCTGTGCGGGTGGGTGAGTGGGTTAGTGAGTGAGTCGCTGTGCGGGTGGGTGAGTGGGTTAGTAAGCGAGTTACTGTGTGGGTGAGTGAGTGGGTTAGTGAGTGAGTTGACGTGTGGGTGAGTGAGTGAGTCGTCCGGCAAAACAACCCCCTACCTCCTCGCGGTGCCGGACGGGCAACTCTGTCGTGGATAGTGCTGTGGGGGGAGATCCAATTTTGATTGGCTCCTCCCCTCATGGCATATGTGTCCACCACAGGGGCTAAACGGGGGCTCTGGACGGGTGCGAGGGGCTGGTAACCCCTCCACCTTCAATTAATTACCACGAAACCACGAGTTAAACTGAAATATGTAACTAATAAGCTTGTGCCGGAGGCCCCGGAGGCCAGGCGTCTATGACGTCTCCTGGCCAAACCCCAATTGGCGGAGCCAGGAGATTGAATACCTACCCTCGGGGCTACTTCAGAAACAATGAAAAGCCACTATGGGGGGCCACGTGGAATGTTCGAACGCTCACTGCAGAGGAGAGGCTGCCACTCCTCTGTCGGAAGCTGGACCGGTACCGCCTGGATCTATGCGGCATTCAGGAGGTCCGGTGGACCGGCTCTGGCTCCTGCCACCATGAGGGGTGGACAGTCCTCTACTCGGGGCAGCAGACTGCCAAACAACAGGGTGTGGGTCTTCTTTTGAACAAAAGAATGAAGGGGGCGTGGGAGCGTGGCGGTGAGGTGTGGGAAGCTGAAAGCCCCAGGCTACTTTGGGCTCGCCTTCCCATAAACCGGAGGCGAGGAATGGTGGTCGTGGTTACTTATACCCCCACCGAAGATGAACATCCGTGGAGGGATGCAGGCAAAGCCGATGAGTCAGATGCCGTCTATGACCTCCTGTCACAGGTGCTGGCTAAAGTGGCCCCTCGGGATAGAGTCATCATGTTGGGTGACTTCAATGCCCGAATTGGTCATGATACTGGCACCTGATCTGGAGTGATTGGACGGCATGGGCCAGATCAGCTCAATAACAACGGTAGGAGGCTACTAGATTTTTGTGCAGCCCATGGGCTTGTAATTACCAACACGCTGTTCCGGCATCGGCGCATCCACACAACATCATGGATGCATGCCGGGTCCAAGCAAGAACATCTGCTGGACTACATAGTGACGGACCAGCGAATGCGAGCCCATGTCCTTGACACCAGGACCTACCGTGGAGCTGATCTGCCCTCTGACCATCGACTAGTCATCTGTAAGATGCGCCTGCCATTCTTCCACTCCGGTGGTGGGTGTACACCCAGGACCCCATTCCAACATAAAGTGGCCTGGTCTCAGATATCTGATGAAAGTTGCAAGCGAGAATTTCATCATCGCTTGCGGCTGGGATTGGCATCGTCCCCGACTCCTCCTGATGTCGAGGGTAAATGGGTGAGGTTTAGGACTGTGACTCATGCAGCTGCAATGGCTGCTTTGGGTACGCGGTCCAGACCTCCGCAGAGACCCTGGCTGACAGAGGAGGTGTTCAGGATGGTTGAGAAAAAGCAACAGGCCCACTGTCATCGGCTACAGAATCCCACGTCAGAGAATGAGGAGGCTTACCGCAGCCTTCGCTCGGAGATTCGGAGAGCCGTGAGGCGCTGCAAGGATGGGTGGTGGTCGCGGGTTGCTGAGGAGATGGAGTCTGCCTCAGTGGCCCGTGATCACAAATCTATATTTAACTCCATCAAAAAAGTAACCTGCAGCACCACACCTATCACCATCATTAGGGGAAAAAACGGTGATCCAATCTCCGACCGCCAGGAACAGGTTTGCTGAGCATTTCTGTGAGGTCCTGGGGGAGGGAAAATCCCTCAGCCAGGAAAACATCGTGGCACAAAGTGAGGATGACCCTGCTGAGACTGCGGTGCCTCAAATATTGGAAGAAGTCACCCCCTGTGAGTGGCTGGCTGAGGTGCCATCTGCTGAGGAAGTATTGAAGGCGATCTGGAGTCTGAGACCAGGAAAGGCAGCGGGCAGAGATGATCTCCCAAGCGAAATGCTGAGGGAGGGTGGCGTTTGTGCACAGACTGCCCTATATGACATCATAACAACAGTCTGGACCACTGGACGGGTTCCGCAGGATTGGAAGGATGCCCTGGTGGTCCCCCTTTTTAAGAAGGGGGACCGCACAGACTGTAACAACTACAGGGGCATCTCACTCCTCAGTGTGCCGGGAAAGGTCCTGGCAAGGATTATTCAGCATCGCCTTGCCAGGCATGCTGAGGAGAGGCTTGCGGAGCCCCAATGCGGTTTCAGGAAAGGGCGGTCCTGCACAGATGCCATATTTTCTGTCCGTCTGCTACAGCAGAGGTGTAGGGAATTCCAACAAGACCTACATCTCTGCTTTATTGACCTGGTCAAGGCCTATGATACCATCAGTAGGCCTGGGCTCTGGGTCGTTCTTCGTGCTTTTGGAGTACCTGACCCTCTGCTCACGATCATTAAGGACCTTCATGATGGTGAGCGGGCCCGGGTAAAACTACGTGGCCGGGAGTCAGAGTCATTCCCTGTACACCTTGGGGTGCGACAGGGATGTCCTCTGGCTCCCACATTATTTAACATCTATTTTGACCACGTAGTTCGTGAAGCCTTCAATAGCTGTACCGCGGGAATCTCCATATGGTACAGATATAATGGGAGGCTAATCGATGCCCGGGTGCGGTCAAGGGATGGCTCCCTATTGCTCAACCACGTTATGTATGCTGATGATTTGGTAATAACTGCTCAGTCAGAGGAGGAGTTAGAGACGCTGCTGCTAAGACTGGAGCGTGCCACTAAGAGGTGGGGCCTTACCATCAGCCCCACCAAAACTAAGCACCTGCCTGGGTATTTTGTACCATCGGACACTCCACCCCCACAACTCCCAATCGGTGATGGGGCAGTTGTGGAGAGAGTGGAGAGTTTCCCATACCTGGGTAGTGTGCTTATGACTGGCTCCAGTTTAACAGCAGAGGTCTCACTCCGAATCAGTCGAGCGGCAATATCTTTTCATCGGTTGCGTAACGCTGTGTGGAAGCTACCTGGTCTGTCGCTCCGCATTAAGCTTCAGGTTTTCTCGGCCACGGTCATTCCCTCCCTTCTCTACGCTTGCGAAACGTGGACCCCCCTAATGGAACATCTTCGCCAGTTAGAAACATTTAGGCTGGCCTGCTTACGATCCATCCTGGGTTTAAGCAGAATGGATTGTGTGAGGAGCTCACAAATCCTTGAAAGATCTGGGCAGGGTCCCATCGGTGAGCTCCTCCGGCAGGCAAGGCTGCGATGGCTGGGTCATGTAGCCCGCATGCCCAGCCACCGCATGCCGAAACAGCTTTTGTTTGGCCGGATTGAGGGGGCTAAGCGGGCGCGGCACGGGCTAGAGAAGAGATGGAGTGATGTGGTACAGGAGGACGTGGAGCTGAGTGGACTTGCCGATGACTGGTACCAGCGGTGTCAAGATCGGCCTCTGTGGAGGAGGCTCGTGAAGGATGCTACTGGGCAGTTGGAGGCAGTCGCCCTCAAACAACAACGGAGGGCGGAGGAGCGACGCTCAGAACAACCAGCGGAGCGCCGGGTGGCTAAAGCACAGCAGGTTGGCACAGTAGGGGGCACAGGTGGTGAATCAGCCAGTCATCTCAGTCAGTCGACCTGTGGCACCTGGGTCTGCCCCGTGACCTCCTGCCAGTGGGCGTTCGACACTTCACGTGGCCTCAGGGTGCACATAGCCTGGCACAAGCGTCGTGGTGACGTCACCGCCACTTAGTGGCGAATGGCGGTTGTTGGTGTTGTTGAGTCGCTGTGCGGGTGGGTGAGTGGGTTAGTAAGCGAGTTACTGTGTGGGTGAGTGAGTGGGTTAGTGAGTGAGTTGACGTGTGGGTGAGTGAGTGAGTCGCTGTGCGGGTGGGTGAGTGGGAGTGAGTCGCTGTGCGGGTGAGTGGGTTAGTGAGCGAGTTACTGTGTGGGTGAGTGAGAGGGTTTAGTGAGTGAGTTGACGTGTGGGTGAGTGAGTGAGTCGCTGTGCGGGTGGGTGAGTGGGTTAGTGAGTGAGTCGCTGTGCGTGTGGGTGAGTGAGTCGCTGTGCGGGTGGGTGAGTGGGTTAGTGAGTGAGTCGCTGTGCGGGTGGGTGGGTTAGTGAGCGAGTTACTGTGTGGGTGAGTGAGTGGGTTAGTGAGTGAGTCGCTGTGCGGGTGGGTGAGTGGGTTAGTGAGTGAGTCGCTGTGCGGGTGGGTGAGTGGGTTAGTAAGCGAGTTACTGTGTGGGTGAGTGAGAGGGTTTAGTGAGTGAGTTGACGTGTGGGTGAGTGAGTGAGTCGCTGTGCGGGTGGGTGAGTGGGTTAGTGAGTGAGTCGCTGTGCGGGTGGGTGGGTTAGTGAGCGAGTTACTGTGTGGGTGAGTGAGTGGGTTAGTGAGTGAGTTGACGTGTGGGTGAGTGAGTGAGTGAGTCGCTGTGTGGGTGGGTTAGTGAGTGAGTCGCTGTGCGGGTGAGTGGGTTAGTGAGCGAGTTACTGTGTGGGTGAGTGAGTGGGTTAGTGAGTGAGTTGACGTGTGGGTGAGTGAGTGAGTGAGTCGCTGTGCGGGTGGGTGAGTGGGTTAGTGAGTGAGTCGCTGTGCGGGTGGGTGAGTGGGTTAGTGAGCGAGTTACTGTGTGGGTGAGTGAGAGGGTTTAGTGAGTGAGTTGACGTGTGGGTGAGTGAGTGAGTGAGTCGCTGTGCGGGTGGGTGAGTGGGTTAGTGAGTGAGTCGCTGTGCGGGTGGGTGAGTGGGTTAGTGAGCGAGTTACTGTGTGGGTGAGTGAGAGGGTTTAGTGAGTGAGTTGACGTGTGGGTGAGTGAGTGAGTCGCTGTGCGGGTGGGTGGGTTAGTGAGCGAGTTACTGTGTGGGTGAGTGAGTGGGTTAGTGAGTGAGTTGACGTGTGGGTGAATGAGTGAGTGAGTCGTTGTGCGGGTGGGTGGGTTAGTGAGCGAGTTACTGTGTGGGTGAGTGAGTGGGTTAGTGAGTGAGTTGACGTGTGGGTGAGTGAGTGAGTCGCTGTGCAGGTGGGTGAGTGGGTTAGTGAGTGAGTCGCTGTGCGGGTGGGTGAGTGGGTTAGTGAGCGAGTTACTGTGTGGGTGAGTGAGTGGGTTAGTGAGCGAGTTACTGTGTGGGTGAGTGAGAGGGTTAGTGAGTGAGTTGACGCGTGGGTGAGTGAGTGAGTGAGTTGACGTGTGGGTGAGTGAGTGGGTTAGTGAGTGAGTTGACGTGTGGGTGAGTGAGTGAGTGAGTCGCTGTGCGGGTGGGTGAGTGGGTTAGTGAGTGAGTCGCTGTGCGTGTGGGTGAGTGAGTGAGTCGCTGTGCAGGTGAGTGGGTTAGTGAGCGAGTTACTGTGTGGGTGAGTGAGAGGGTTTAGTGAGTGAGTTGACGTGTGGGTGAGTGAGTGAGTCGCTGTGCGGGTGGGTGAGTGGGTTAGTGAGTGAGTCGCTGTGCGTGTGGGTGAGTGAGTCGCTGTGCGGGTGGGTGAGTGGGTTAGTGAGTGAGTCGCTGTGCGGGTGGGTGGGTTAGTGAGCGAGTTACTGTGTGGGTGAGTGAGTGGGTTAGTGAGTGAGTCGCTGTGCGGGTGGGTGAGTGGGTTAGTGAGTGAGTCGCTGTGCGGGTGGGTGAGTGGGTTAGTAAGCGAGTTACTGTGTGGGTGAGTGAGAGGGTTTAGTGAGTGAGTTGACGTGTGGGTGAGTGAGTGAGTGAGTCGCTGTGCGGGTGGGTGAGTGGGTTAGTGAGTGAGTCGCTGTGCGGGTGGGTGGGTTAGTGAGCGAGTTACTGTGTGGGTGAGTGAGTGGGTTAGTGAGTGAGTTGACGTGTGGGTGAGTGAGTGAGTGAGTCGCTGTGTGGGTGGGTTAGTGAGTGAGTCGCTGTGCGGGTGAGTGGGTTAGTGAGCGAGTTACTGTGTGGGTGAGTGAGTGGGTTAGTGAGTGAGTTGACGTGTGGGTGAGTGAGTGAGTGAGTCGCTGTGCGGGTGGGTGAGTGGGTTAGTGAGTGAGTCGCTGTGCGGGTGGGTGAGTGGGTTAGTGAGCGAGTTACTGTGTGGGTGAGTGAGAGGGTTTAGTGAGTGAGTTGACGTGTGGGTGAGTGAGTGAGTCGCTGTGCGGGTGGGTTAGTGAGCGAGTTACTGTGTGGGTGAGTGAGTGGGTTAGTGAGTGAGTTGACGTGTGGGTGAATGAGTGAGTGAGTCGTTGTGCGGGTGGGTTAGTGAGCGAGTTACTGTGTGGGTGAGTGAGTGGGTTAGTGAGTGAGTTGACGTGTGGGTGAGTGAGTGAGTCGCTGTGCAGGTGGGTGAGTGGGTTAGTGAGTGAGTCGCTGTGCGGGTGGGTGAGTGGGTTAGTGAGCGAGTTACTGTGTGGGTGAGTGAGTGGGTTAGTGAGTGAGTTGACGTGTGGGTGAGTGAGTGAGTGAGTTGACGTGTGGGTGAGTGAGTGGGTTAGTGAGTGAGTTGACGTGTGGGTGAGTGAGAGGGTTTAGTGAGTGAGTTGACGTGTGGGTGAGTGAGTGAGTCGCTGTGCGGGTGGGTGAGTGGGTTAGTGAGTGAGTCGCTGTGCGTGTGGGTGAGTGAGTGAGTGAGTCGCTGTGCGGGTGGGTGGGTTAGTGAGCGAGTTACTGTGTGGGTGAGTGAGAGGGTTTAGTGAGTGAGTTGACGTGTGGGTGAGTGAGTGAGTCGCTGTGCGGGTGGGTGAGTGGGTTAGTGAGTGAGTCGCTGTGCGGGTGGGTGGGTTAGTGAGTGAGTTACTGTGTGGGTGAGTGAGTGGGTTAGTGAGTGAGTTGACGTGTGGGTGAGTGAGTTGACGTGTGGGTGAGTGAGTGAGTGAGTCGCTGTGCGGGTGGGTGAGTGGGTTAGTGAGTGAGGCGCTGTGCGGGTGGGTGGGTTAGTGAGTGAGTTACTGTGTGGGTGAGTGAGTGGGTTAGTGAGTGAGTTGACGTGTGGGTGAGTGAGTGAGCGAGTTACTGTGTGGGTGAGTGAGTGGGTTAGTGAGTGAGTTGACGTGTGGGTGAGTGAGTGAGTGAGTCGCTGTGCGGGTGGGTGAGTGGGTTAGTGAGTGAGTCGCTGTGCGGGTGGGTGGGTTAGTGAGTGAGTTACTGTGTGGGTGAGTGAGTGGGTTAGTGAGTGAGTTGACGTGTGGGTGAGTGAGTTGACGTGTGGGTGAGTGAGTGAGTGAGTCGCTGTGCGGGTGGGTGAGTGGGTTAGTGAGTGAGGCGCTGTGCGGGTGGGTGGGTTAGTGAGTGAGTTACTGTGTGGGTGAGTGAGTGGGTTAGTGAGTGAGTTGACGTGTGGGTGAGTGAGTGAGCGAGTTACTGTGTGGGTGAGTGAGTGGGTTAGTGAGTGAGTTGACGTGTGGGTGAGTGAGTCGCTGTGCGGGTGGGTGAGTGGGTTAGTGAGTGAGTCGCTGTGCGGGTGGGTGGGTTAGTGAGTGAGTTACTGTGTGGGTGAGTGAGTGGGTTAGTGAGTGAGTTGACGTGTGGGTGAGTGAGTGGGTTAGTGAGCGAGTTACTGTGTGGGTGAGTGAGTGGGTTAGTGAGCGAGTTACTGTGTGGGTGAGTGAGTGGGTTAGTGAGTGAGTTGACGTGTGGGTGAGTGAGTGAGTGAGTCGCTGTGTGGGTGAGTGGGTTAGTGAGCGAGTTACTGTGTGGGTGAGTGAGAGGGTTTAGTGAGTGAGTTGACGTGTGGGTGAGTGAGTGAGTCGCTGTGCGGGTGGGTGAGTGGGTTAGTGAGTGAGTCGCTGTGCGGGTGAGTGAGTGGGTTAGTGAGCGAGTTACTGTGTGGGTGAGTGAGTGGGTTAGTGAGTGAGTCGCTGTGTGGGTGAGTGGGTTAGTGAGCGAGTTACTGTGTGGGTGAGTGAGAGGGTTTAGTGAGTCGCTGCTGTTGCGGGTGAGCGCCCGGGTGACCTCCGCCATAACGACGGTGAAAAAAAGAGATTCGCAGGCAGAGGGACGGAAGCGACGGCGCTCACCAGAACATTGATAACGGGCCGCACAACTCCTCCCGCGCGGTCGTCACCGGCGCTGCTCCTGTTCTCTTTCAGCAACAGAAGCAGGTGCAGAGAGACGGAGGAGCCGCACTCGAGCGTGTGAGCGACGCGCTCCAGCTGCAGGAAACTGTCGCTGGGCGAGAAGAACGCGCTGATGGTGCTGTAACCCTGCCGGTAGGTCACACCCGGATGGGCGGTCGAGTTGAACTCGGGGTCTGTGGCCTGTGGGGTTCATGGTGGTGGGGTGGGGGTAACACATGCGGATGCGTCTCTTAAAGCGATACAACACAAATTGGGAAAATTCCACAGAATGTATCATTAATGCCTTCGTGTAGCTAAGGGTTACGTAACTGAGGCCTTCATGTAACTGAGGCCTTCATGTAACTGAGGCCTTCATGTAACTGAGGCCTTCATGTAACTGAGGCCTTCATGTAACTGAGGCCTTCATGTAACTGAGGCCTTCACGTAACAGAGGCATTAATGAAACCCATTTCTTATGTAACTAAGGCTTTCATGTAACCCAGGCCTAAATTAAACTCGGGCCTTATCTAACTAAGGCCTTCATGTAACCCAGGCATTAATGAAACCCAGTTCTTATGTAACT